AAAGATGAAAATATAACCAATCATAACAAAACGTTTTTAAAAAAGCTCTATTGTTTGGCAAAAAAAGTAGAGAGACTTTCTCTTGGCCTCTCCACTTTCCAACCTTTCCAACCCATGTAACTGTTACTTTGAATGATGGTTAGCTCCAGACATGGAAAATAGGTGTTTGCATGATTCTTCTCTTTCTTTTCAGCTGGACAAAAGCAAGCTGTTCGGCTGGCAAGACAAGTGAATAAACAGACAAGAAGGATAAAGAACGAGCTTGCCAAGTATTGAGCTTTTGCTTTTGAAAGAGTATATGATGATCTCTGCCAAATGTATCACCTTTTTGGAAGCAGAGGATCCAAATTCTTCCTTGTTCAACAGATTAAGAGCAGATGAATCGAAGTCCGTTGATAGCATCCCATTTTCTACAAAAAGACGCATCATTAAATTGACTGACCTTATGACTAGATGAGACAAAGAAGAAGCCTTCCTAAGACAGGAATGTCAAACTCTCCTGCGTTTCTTTAATGCTAGAGAGAATCAAATTATTGGCTGAAACAGGCGACGCTTTTTCAGTTGGATTTTAGGCTCTGTTGAAACGCCATATAGACAGGACATATAGCTTGACAATCTGTCATTTAAGCTAATGTTTACTTTCTCAACGGATTCTGGTAGTAGGGAGTTCAGGCTTTCATAATCTGCCAGGTGACTTTTTGGAAAATGCCTGGATGTCACGTGACTGATGACGTCATTTAACGGTAAAAAATCAGACAAAATCATCGTTAGCTCCTCACTGAAGGGTTATTTTTAACGCAACTTACATATTTTGACTCATCTCATTGCAAGCTTTCAAATTTTATATATTTAAGCAAGATTTGCCGACATAAGTATTTTCATTATGACGTCATAACAAATTTTGCATGACGTCATCAAATATTTTATTGTCATAAAATGATACGTTAGCATAATTTTGTTTTAATATGACGCTGGCTGTCAGCAAAAGCTTTTCTTCCATATGTTTTTCAATTAAAATATTAGTATTTAGTTCATTTAAATTGAATTTGTGCCCACCGCAATAGCCAAAGTTCGAAACAGGTAGTAGTCACTATCTGACGACTGAGTCACTTCTTACTCCAAAGTCGCAAAGTCTTGCTCCCACTCTGAACCGGACAATTATTTCTCTGCATCTGCATTTGACTGTTGCTAAGTCGGAAAATATCTTCGCACTATTACAGGCTTTCCAAGATGTCTTCGCACTATAGGTCTTTAGCGCTGGGTATGAAAGTGTATGATTTTCTTCATGGGTAAATTCATCTCCTGCGTCACCTTCATATTCTTGTGATGTAAAGGAAGCTCTCGGAGATGAGGAAGCTGCTTTCCTGTGAACCATTTAGACTTTACGTCGAGTATGTCGTCCAAATTTCAACATCGGGCTTCTGGGACATGTCTTGTAGTAGTTGCACCTAAACAGTGTAGCCAAAATAACCTTGTTAAGTTGATACAATTTAATTCTTTTCTGATTGAGTGATTATGGATCTGCTGGAACTGCTGCAGATAATTTTTTTCAGATTTGATAAATATATTTGTCTCTAAATAGCTTTTATATGTTGTTCCACTATATGCTGCTGTTTCGCGAATGTCTTTGCTTTTGCTTTTAATAATTAATTGTTTCTGTTTCCTCGCTAGCTTTTTTCACAGTAACCTTATCAGACCAGGCGAGGAAGGGGGGGGTATCGTCACCCATTGAGGGAATTTGCAAGACCAACTCTATTTGGTCAATTTCGATACGCTGATTACGAAAATCGATGTTATACGGAGAAATTCGGTACCAGGAAGCCTCTATTTCACGTTCAAAGCTCGTTTTCGTCCAAACTTGAACGTTGAACGAAAGTTTGTAAATGAATCGATTTTTATCAATTTTGATGTGCTGATTTCAAAAAATTATTTTATAAATGTAAAATCAGTACCAGGAAGCCTCTATTTCATGTCCAAACCTCGTTTTCATCAAAATTTGAATGTTGAAAAAAAGTTTGTAAATCTTTTATTCTCATCAATTTTGATATACTGATTTTGAAGGTTGATCTCATACGGCAGAATTCTTTATGCACTGGTCCCTTTTTCATGCTGAAATCGTTTATTTATCGTTTTCAATATTTCTAGAGTAATATCTGCTGCACACATAGATTTGCTTTAAAGGCTTAAAAAAGATTATGTCGAAAGGCAATATAATACGGCTAATAAACATTTAAAGTTGTTTTGAATAAACATTCTAGTATCCGTTGTCATCAGAGTCATTGCTATACTCATCCTCAAAGCAATTGTCATTCATTGGGTCAATATTGTCTTCTTCAGCATCTTGATTGATATTTAGATGCAGCTCGGCATTATTATCTACTCATATGTCTTTACTCCACGATGCGTTACCGGCTGCATCCCAACCACGATCAACTGTACTGCCAATGCTTAACTGCAACTGATCTGCATTTCTGTAAATGTTTGCAACATAAGCTAATGTAGCTTTGTGCAAATGAGATTGGTAACACATGGTGGCATTAAACTAAGTTCAAAAACTTTCCCTTAAGTTTCAAAAATCTTCCAGAAACTTATTGAGCGGGCGTCATTGGCCTTGGTGACAGTTGTTGAAAAACCGTAAAGAAAGCATGTAAACTTCTCCAGGACCTCGATAGCATTTGGATGGGCAGGACATCTGTTCCAAGCCTTGCAAAAGTGCTTACGAATTCGTTGCGCCTTAACATTGCTTTTCAGAATGACTTTTTCCCTTTTTTGGAAATCATGGACACATAATCGATGTCGGAGAATGCGTGAAGACCAACCATTGCTCGCCTTTTAATTGAAGACAATGTTGATATGATAGACAGCATGAAGCAAGACCACTGAATAAATTTTCTTTATGACAATTTAATTAGCGCAGTGAGAAATCTAACTGAGATCTTTCTGGAGAACGGCTATCCAGAGGATGTTATTTCAGTTTACATTAAGGAGAAGATAGGAAATTTCTTGGCTGACATAAAATTTGGTCCTCAAAAGTGTCCGGTCTATCTAAAACTACCCTGGATCGGTGACAGTTCCATACGTTTTGAAAGCCAAATAAAAGAGGCCATTGCAAATTGCATGTGTCAACCCACGTGTTGTTTATAGTACGAAAAGGCCCTTCCGTCCATTCAAAATGACTGCGTTTCTGCCACACAATAAAGTTCCGTTGTATATGAATTTACGTGCCAGTATGATTCTGGCAACGTAGGACGCATTACCCAAAGATTGGAGGATAGAATAAAACAACAAATTCCGTCTAATATTAGAAACAAAACCCATCCCCAAAGAGAACAGCCACCTCGGTCTTGCAAATCTAAAATTACAACTAAAACCTGCGATTCTGCTATCGGTCAGCATTTACTGGAAACCAAGATTGTGCAAAAAACTATAATGGCGACATGTTTCGGATTATTGATAAAGCCCGATCGTCGTTCTACCTAGCAGTTTTGGAATCTATCTACATAAGCTCGAGAAAACCGCTTCTGTGTAGACAAAAGGAGTTCGTTTTCACCTAAGACTCAATTGGTAACATTCTCAATAGGCAAGCGGCACTGATTGGTCAACCTATACAGTCATGTGATCCTGTTTTTGATTGGCCTATTTTGATCCGACTGGTTATATATATTTCCTAAAGTAGATTTTTCGACCTATGTTCTGACGTTTTAAACTCTGAAGAGTGTCAGACGAAAAGCTTTAGTTTACTAAATGTTTGCTTTTTTCAAAGCCATTTTCAAGTTTTGTACCACCAAAAGATTGTTTACAACTTTAAATGTTTATTAGCCATATTATATTGACTTTTGACATAATCTTTTTTAAGCTTTTATAGCAAATCTATGTGCACAGCAGATTTTACTCTAGAAATATTGAAAACGATAAATGAAAAAGATTTCAGCATGAAAAAGGGACCAGTGCATAAAGACTTCCGCCGTATGAGATCAACCTTCGGAATCAGTATATCGAAATTGATGAGAATAAAAAATTTACAAACTTCTTTTCAATGTTTAAATTTTGATGAAAATGAGGTTTGAACATGAAATAGAGGCTTCCTGGTACTGAATTGACATTTATAAAATACCTTTTTGAAATCAGCACATGAAAATTGATAAAAATCGATTCATTTACAAACTTTCGTTCAACGTTCCAATTTGGACGAAAACGAGGTTTGAGCGTGAAATAGAGGCTTTCTGGTACCGAATTTCTCCGTATAACATCGATTTTCGTAATCAGCGTATCGAAATTGACCAAATAGAGTTGGTCATGCAAATTCCCTCGATGGGTGACGATACCCCCCCTTCCTCGCCTGGTCTATATCAATGCTGTGCTTATATGCAGTTGTCTCAGCCCACAATTCCATTAATCTGTGATAAAATACAGCAAATTTTGGAACCAAAAGTTTCAGCGTTGCCTCAAATCTTGACGATTTGTTTGCTATTTATGTACATAAACCACTAATTTGTGGGTTTGCACTTCTGTGTTGCATGAAAAAGCAGCCCACATAAATCAGTATCTTTTGCAACAGCAACTGCTTTTGCATCTTTCGAGTTACCATGCAAAATATTCTGGTTTCCGCCTGTTTGTTGTTACATCTTGGAGGGACTTCTACTTGCTTTTTGAAGTCTCATATAATTCTCTTTTTTCATCAATGTAAAAATACTATTCTTACTTTGGAGTATCTTTTGCTCTTCACTTTTTATATGCACTTGCCTTGATGACTCTCTTTTGCCGATTGCTTGCTCGTGTGCTGTTTCTAAATATTTAGCGTTGACTTTGTTTCCACTTTCATTGCTTTAGCCTCATAAGGAGGATTAGCACATCCACGAGTGTTCTTGAACCAAATACTGAATGTTTCCTTGGGTTTGATGCTACGAACTCAGGCCGTCTCATCAAATCTCCATCTGGCGTTTTCTGGTGGCATTTTTACAAAATATTCTCACGGACTGATGACACTAGCGCTAACATGGAAGAAATATCTCGAAGAAATGAGATATTTTGCTCGAATTGTAGGTTGTCGCTTGCAAAGAAAGTATAGTCAGATACTTAAGCTGCATTCTGGGGCACAAAGATCCAAGAAAACAGCAAAAGTAGTCTCAATAATGAATGAAGACCACCAAGCTTTCGTGATTGGCAAGGCTGCCTCTATCGAAAAGGCATTTTCATATCCCATCAAAACCATAACTCTAGTCTTGCAACTCCTGAAGGTGTACTGTGACAAGGAGATAAAGCTGTTCTTCTTAATTTCGTGTGTAAGGAGCCAGATCCATATATAAATCCACCATCAGAAAAACGGCAGATGGTGTATTTTATCTATGAGATGGCCTTATTTCGCAGCAGAAGATAGCCTTATTGAAAAAAGTCATGCACCTTCAGCACATCGGTAGGACATCTTGGATAGCCTATATTGCCAAGAGATTCTTCCGATTTAATGTATCATTCAAATGCAGATGCAGAGAAATCATTGTCCGGTCCGGTTCAAAGTGGGAGCAAGACTTTGCAACTTCGGAGGAAGAAGTGACTCACTCGGCAGATAGTAACAACTTCTTTATTTAAACTTTGGCTATTGCGGTTGGCACAAATTCAATTTAAATGAACTAAATACTAATTATTTTGGTTGAAAAACATATGGAAGAAAAGCTTTTGCTGACAGCGAGCGTCATATTAAAACAAAATTATGCTAACGTATCATTTTATGACAATAAAATATTTGATGACGTCAAGCAAAATTTGTTATGACGTCATAATGAAAATACCTATGTCGGTAAATCTTGCTTAAATATATATCATTTGAAAGCTTGCAATGAGACGAGTCAAAATATGTAAATTTCGTTAAAAAATAACCCTTCAGTGAGGAGCTAACGATGATTTATTCTGACTTTTTACCGTTAAATGACGTAATCAGTCACGTGACATCCAGGCATTTTCCAAAAAGTCACCTGGCAGATTATGAAAGCCTGAACTCCCTACTACCAGAATCCATTGAGAAAGCAAACATTAGCTTGAATGTCAGATTGTCAGGCTATATGTCCTGTCTAATATTATACAACTGAAATGCGACATTGATTCAGACAAAGCAACCGTCAAAGCATTTGACACTTCTGTCCCGGATATTGAATACACATAGGATCTCAGGGGTTACATTTAGAAAAGTACATATAATGCAGGTTTAGATCAGATTTCTATCCAGAACGGGCTATTTCAAATTGAAATGTGAAAGAGAGGCTACATTCAGATTTTTCATAGGATCTTATGGCATACATGTAGAAAAATACGTATAATTCGAGTTTGAGATAAGATTTCTATTGAGAACGGGATATTTCGGATTGAGAATAGAAAGAGAGGCTGAATTCAGATATTTTATAGGATCTTAGGGGGTAAATATAGAAAATATATGAAAATGCTAATTTTAAATAAGATTACCATCCAGAACGGGATATTTCGAATTGAGAATAGAAAGAGAGGCTGAATAGACCCCTTTCACAATTACGTCATGCGGTGTTTGAAAGAGAGACGAGCGCTTGGAGTCGAGGCAACTGATGTAGTCGGCTGTGCGAACGTTCGGGCCTCTTTGGACATCTACAGAGTCGATTATATATTTCTACGTTTAAGAATTTTTTACGCCCGATTTTTCATTGAAATGGATGCATTCAAATTGTTGCTGCTGAAGGAAAAGAAAGTTGATTGTTTAGAAGATCTTGGCGCATTGACTATTAAAGAATTGAAGCATATTCTTGTAGCATACAGGGAGAAAACTTCCGGTGTCAAAGCCGACCTTATTCTTCGTGCATATGCGGTCTTTTGTCGTGCAAAGAATTTCAATTCTCAATCCAATGACATTTCAGATGAGTCCTCCTTACTTTGTCACGAAAATGATTTCACATTTGAGGCTATTTATGATCAGTGCAAGCATCTTCCTTGGACAGCTGACTTACGTGGAACACCTCCTTTTACTTTTCTGCAGCTCTATGAATATTTGGTTATTCGAACATCAAAATTCAAGCACATCCTTCTTAAGAGTACTGCCTACAAGAAACTGAAAGCATTTCAGTTTTTCTTTGAAGGCTTTATAAAAAAGATCGATGTAGCTAAGAACAAGGAGTTTACTTTCTTCAATGTTCGTGTCAAGGCATCTATGAAAAAGGTTCTCTATAAAGTAATTTTGAAGCATTCAAATATTTCTGGTGATGTTTGCTCTGCTGCCTGTTCTTGTCCTGCTGGCATTGGTCTTGGTGGCTTTGGAAACTGCAACCATGTTGGTGGAGTTCTCTTTGCCCTGGAAGATTTTAACCGGCGTGGTCTTCAAGGATTTGAATCAGCAGTTTCCTGCACATCAAAATTATCCTCATGGAATGTGCCAAATGCCTCTTCCCTTCGGTCCTTTAATCCAGCTCCAATTGATGAAGTCGTGATAAAGAAGATTAAGTTTGGAAGGAATTATGATGGTTATGATGTTCCAAAATCAAAAACATTTGACCCTCGCATTACCAGCCATAGAACCGTAAACATTAATGATCTTGAAATTTTAAAATCGAAATTAACAAAATTCATGCCAAACAGTGGATTCTTTGGTTTTTATCCAGCTTCAACATCTGATCTTCCTCCTTCAAGTGACAGTGCTTTCACCAGTGCAACTGATACTCAAGATCCATCTTTAGCTGAAGCAGTCTCTTTCAATGAGTGCTTCGATATCTCCAAACAATCTTTTAAAGATATGATGGACATTTATTGTCATAACCTATCTTTGTCTGCTGAAGAAATTTCTGACATTGAGAAGGTGACCCGTGGTCAATCCTCCAACAGCAATTGGATAGATTATCGCCTTTATCGACTAACAGCCTCAAACTTCTACACTGCTGCCGTAAACACCGTTGAGCCATCTTCAAAAATAGAATCCATGTTTTACAAGTCTTTCTCAACCTTAGCAACCAGCCATGGCAAGAAATTTGAAGGACATGCCATTGAGCTCTACACAATCTACATGAAAGAGCATGGCCTGAATGTCATTGTTTCTGAAACTGGCCTGCAATTATCTTCTTCTTCTCCTTTTCTTGGTGCATCTTTGGATGGCATGGTTTCTTGTAAGAATGAAAGATGGGGTTTGGAAATAAAATGTCCATTCTCAAAGTTCAAAACCTCTCTTCAGGATGCATTTAAAGACAAGAAGTTCTTCTTGGAGAATAATGGTGGCACTATCAAGCTCAAATGCAAACATCAATACTATTATCAAGTTCAAGGCCAAATGTTTTGTGCTGATTTGAAACGTATTGATTTTGTTGTTTGGTTTGGTGGTAGTGAACCATTGTTTGTGGAGTCAATACAATATGATGAAGAATTTGTTTTATCATACATGCTACCAAGGCTTCACTTCTTTTACTGCAGAGCAATTCTTCCTGAATTTTTCACTAAGCGAGTGAAACGTGAATTCAAATTATATTTACATGGAAATTGGACAAACTTTGATAAATCCAAATAATTTTTGTTATTATTAAGATATACACACACAAAATAAATCCTCTTTGTAATAATGTTCAGTATCATTGGCTAAACATAATAATTTCTGAAAGCCTTTTAATAAGTTTTTATAAGTTAAATATGTATTCAAGTAAACATTGTGTATGCTCTAAAGAATTGGTTATGTGTTTAATCTTTACATAATATCATTGTATACTATACATACAGAATAGATGTAACATTGTGTATGCTTAAAAGAATTGGTATGTGTTTAATCTTTACATAATATCATTGTATACTATACATACAGAATAGATGTAACATTTTGTATGCTCTAAAGTATTGGTATGTGTTTAATCTTTACATAATATCATTGTATACTATACATACAGAATAGATGTAACATTTTGTATGCTCTAAAGTATTGGTATGTGTTTAATCTTTACATAATATCATTGTATTCTATACATACAGAATAGATGTAACATTGTGTATGCTTAAAAGAATTAGTATGTGTTTAATCTTTACATAATATCATTGTATACTATACATACAGAATAGATGTAACATTGTGTATGCTTAAAAGAATTGGTATGTATTTAATCTTTACATAATATCATTGTATACTATACATACAGAATAGATGTAACATTTTGTATGCTCTAAAGTATTGGTATGTGTTTAATCTTTACATAATATCATTGTATTCTATACATACAGAATAGATGTAACATTGTGTATGCTTAAAAGAATTGGTATGTGTTTAATCTTTTCATAATATCATTGTATACTATACATACAGAATAGATGTAACATGGCTAAAACAAACATAGATAGATGTAAAGAAAGTTTATAAATATATATATATTTATAGCACAGTCCCAGACATGGTCCGAATACAAGCACCATAATACATGGAAAGTTTTAATTGGCATATCACCCTCTGGCCTAATTACCTTTGTCTCAAAGTTATGGTCTGGTAAGGTTTCTGATAAAGAAATCACTCTTAAGTCAGGTGTTCTAGCCCTTTTTGAGGATGGTGATAACCTTATGGCTGACCGTGGCTTTGATGTCAAAGATATTCTTCCTCCTGGAGTGACTCTAAACATTCCACCTTTCAAGGGTACAAGAGCACAACTGACAGCGAATGAGACAGAAGAAACTGCTCGCATTGCTCCCTTACGATATCGCATTGCGTCCTTGTAAGGGAGTATTACGCTCCCTTACGTTAGTTTGGTCGAGCACTCTATGTCTGGGACTCTGTGGGGACCTGCTTCTAGCATTATGCGAAGCTCACTGCGCATGCGCTGTTTGAGCACTCTGGCAGGGTCCCACAATCAATCCGTTAAACTGCCTTGTTGCTCTGACAGCATAGCTCGGGTTGTGTCTCAGACAAGCTCTGTGCTGCACTGACGAGCCCACAAAGGGCGAAACAGTACTGTCTGCAGATTGAGTATTACGCTCCCTTACACTAGTTTGGTCGAGCACTCTATGTCTGGGACTCTGTGGGGACCTGCTTCTAGCATTATGCGAAGCTCACTGCGCATGCGCTGTTTGAGCACTCTGGCAGGGTCCCACAATCAATCCGTTAAACTGCCTTGTTGCTCTGACAGCATAGCTCGGGTTGTGTCTCAGACAAGCTCTGTGCTGCACTGACGAGCCCACAAAGGGCGAAACAGTACTGTCTGCAGATTGAGTATTACGCTCCCTTACGTTAGTTTGGTCGAGCACTCTATGTCTGGGACTCTGTGGGGACCTGCTTCTAGCATTATGCGAAGCTCACTGCGCATGCGCTGTTTGAGCACTCTGGCAGGGTCCCACAATCAATCCGTTAAACTGCCTTGTTGCTCTGACAGCATAGCTCGGGTTGTGTCTCAGACAAGCTCTGTGCTGCACTGACGAGCCCACAAAGGGCGAAACAGTACTGTCTGCAGATTGAGTATTACGCTCCCTTACGTTAGTTTGGTCGAGCACTCTATGTCTGGGACTCTGTGGGGACCTGCTTCTAGCATTATGCGAAGCTCACTGCGCATGCGCTGTTTGAGCACTCTGGCAGGGTCCCACAATCAATCCGTTAAACTGCCTTGTTGCTCTGACAGCATAGCTCGGGTTGTGTCTCAGACAAGCTCTGTGCTGCACTGACGAGCCCACAAAGGGCGAAACAGTACTGTCTGCAGATTGAGTAAATATATATATATATATATAGAAGTAATTTATTTATTATCATTAGGTTCAACTAAAATTGGCAAAAAGTTTGTAAGTAAACAACAAACAGTGAAAATCTGATTAGCTGTTGAATGTAATGATAATGGTAGAACACCATCAAGGATGTGGTAATTTTTTACCCTTCCAATGGCATGCTCCACATGAATGCGTACAGAAGCAATGCGAGCAGTTTCTTCTGTCTCATTCGCTGTCAGTTGTGCTCGTGTACCCTTGAAAGGTGGAATGTTTAGAGTCACTCCAGGAGGAAGAATATCTTTGACATCAAAGCCACGGTCAGCAATAAGGTTATCACCATCCTCAAAAAGGGCTAGAACACCTGACTTAAGAGTGATTTCTTTATCAGAAACCTTACCAGACCATAACTTTGAGACAAAGGTAATTAAGCCAGAGGGTGATATGCCAATTAAAACTTTCCATGTATTATGGTGCTTGTATTCGGACCATGTCTGGGACTGTGCTTTCATAGATGATGGAACCTCTGTAGATATTTCTGTGCAATCAATGATTAATCTCGTTGTTGGAAAATCTTTAAATTGAGCAGGCATGGCTTGACGAACAACCTCTTGAGAAGGGGGTTTGAAAAGCAGTGGGAGTTCGTGGTAAAGAAAACAAATCCATGTTGTAAAGATTTTCGAAACCTGACTGGAAGAAATTCCAAAACGACCAGCTAAATCATCAATAAACAAACCAACTTTCAGTCTCATTAGAACAAGAATGAATTCTTCCAGATGAGTGAGAGAGCCCTTTGGGCCACGTGAAGACTTGGTGTGATAATCATCAGAGCTTTGTGAAGACTTGTTACCACGCCAATATTGCATTTGCAGGACTTTAGGCTCAAAGTACTCAAATGTTGACACCAGTGTAGGAAAGTTTGGAAAACCAGTGTAAAACTTTGTTGCAGAACTATCAGACTTTAACTTTTCAATAGAAAAAAGAGACAGTTTAACTTGAGCAAGCTTCAACTCTAGCTGTTCCACTTGATTTTCTAATTTAATTACTTTGGCAGAGAGCTCTTGACTTTGAGATTGCAGAGTGTCACTTTTGATGAATGAATCCATTATATCATTTTCCATCTTTTCAAAATCAATTGGAAGGTATGTTGGGGAATTTACAAAAGAGAAATCAGTTTGTGTTTATATTGATACAGTTGATGTAGAATGATCTTCTTCAAACGGAGAGCCAAGTTCAGCATCAATTTCACCACCAAAGCTTGAAAACTGTGAAGATGTATCCTGAGATGAGCTGGGGAATATTTCAAAACGAGCTGATGGAGGTTTTCGTGCTTTGCATTTGCCTCCTGTTGAAGGGACAGTACCAGCCACAAGATTCAAGGAGGGTACAGCACCAGGAACAAGTCGCCAATGGTTCGGGTTTCACTTTATATCAGCTGACGTAAAATGCTTTTCACACAAAAAGGTCGAGCTGCTGACCTTAAAACCATCCATGCCGTCAATCCTTTTTATCAAAGAGCACCAGCAACGCTTTTCAGGATTTGACTTGGGAAAAGCAAAGAAATGTAGGCCAGTTCGAGATCAATCGGAGTTATAAAAGTAGCTATAGCATCCATAAGCGGCGCATTGACGTCCAAAAGATCGTTTTTTCTTCTTGGATATATCTTGACCTATATCTAATATGTCTTCGCTGCTCATTTTAACAATAAAATTTTAACGTAATTCTATAAAAAAGATAAGCTACGATTGTTAATCCTTGTCGCACCGCACCGTATGAAAGGAGATGAGACGAAACTACATCAGTTGCCTCGATTCCAAGCGTTCGTCTCTCATTCAAATACTGCGTGACGTAATTGTGAAAGGGGTCTATTCAGATATTTTATAGGATCTTAGGGGGTACATGTAGAAAAATATGTATAATTCGTGTTTGAGACAAGATTTCTATTGAGAACGGGATATTTCGGATTGAGAATAGTAAGAGAGTCTGAATTTAGATTTTTCATAGAAACTTAGGGGGTAAATATAGAAAATATATGAAAATGCTAATTTTAAATAAGATTACCATCCAGAACGGGATATTTCGAATTGAGAATAGAAAGAGAGGCTGAATTCAGATATTTTATAGGATCTTAGGGGGTATATGTAGAAAAATATGTATAATTGTGTTTGAGATAAAATTTCTATTGAGAACGGGATATTTCGGATTGAGATTAGAAAGAGAGGCTGAATTAAGATAATTTATAGGTTCTTAGGGGGTACATGTAGAAAAATATGTATAATTCGTGTTTGAGATCAGATTTCTATTGAGAACGGGATATTTCGGATTAAGAATAGAAAGAGAGGCTGAATTTAGATTTTTCATAGGAACTTAGGGGGTAAATATAGAAAATATATAAAAATGCGAATTTTAGATAAGATTACCATCCAGAACGGGACATTTCGAATTGGGAACAGAAAGAGAGGCTGAATTTAGATATTTTATAGGATGTTGGGGGGACATGTAGAAAAATATGTATAGTTCGTGTTTAGATAAGATTTCTATTCAGAACGGTATATTTCGAATTGAGAACAGAGAGAGAGGCTTAATTTGAATTTTTCATAGGATCTCAGGGGCTACATGTAGAAAAATATGTATAATTCGTGTTTAGATAAGATTTTTATCCAGAACGGGATATTTCGGATTGAGAATAGAAAGAGAGGCTGAATACGCGCTTTCGATAAAACAGTGCATTATGGGTAATCAGGATCTCCGCGAGGGATTGTTTGCGTTGCTAGTAAACAGAGCCCAGAGACTACGCTTACCATACTTTCGCTATTTGGAAACTTCGAATTGAGTCAGACACGCATCGATTCACGAATAAGGTAAGATTCCTTCGTTTGGACTTTCTTTAGCTAACTTTTTTCCAACAATCCCTTTGAACATTGATTGTCATAAAACAGAGGAACTCATGGTTATTTCGATGTTGTTAGGCCCCCGAAGATTTTTACCAATTTTTGTTTTGGTTATTTATTTGTGTAGGTTAACTGCTTCGCTTTGCTTGTGGACATAACACTTCTGTCAAATTACTTAAGCTCAGCTTTTTTCTTGATTCAAGTAAACCATACAATCTAAATAGCAGAAGATCATAAGTCATTCTCTACCGATGGAAAAGAATTCAGCCAAATGTTTGAATTGATTTTTAGGGAAGATGGCAACGGCTGATGCTAAAAGTCGAGACTTTGGTATGGACTTCAATGATTTTCTGGAGTGGAACCAAGAAAGGCTGAACAATTTTTTAAAAGTGCGGGGCAAGTCAACAACTGGCAATAAAAAGGATTTGGCTGCAAGAGCATTAGTTGCATTTGAAAATGGTGAGCCTGTTACACAAAGTGCAGAAGATAGCGCACAGAAGTTGGAAAAAGAGTACAACGAGTTACTAGAGAAGTTTACCATACAAGACCCACTGAAAATTCCAAACCATTTATGGTCCACTGATGTTAAAAAATGGCCTAATCTAAATCTTGGGCAAATTTTTCAATATGTTATTGACAATAAAGCCTTCGAAGGCAACTATATTGGCCAATACAAAGCACGAAAGGCCTATTCATATTTCCAGAGTGGACACGTGCAGCAAATATATCAATATATGATAAATGATGAACAAATGTTCTTCAAGGCATGTGTTGTCCCATCAATGAGGGTGAATGAGAGACCAAGAGAAGGCTGGATTCTCTTTTCAAAACACAATGGTGTTTTAACAGCCCACTGTACGTGCATAGCTGGTTACTCTAAATCTTGCAACCATATTATATCCATTCTGTATAAGGTGAATTTTGCATGCGAGCATGGCTTAAACAGTCCATCGTGCACTGAAGTAGCATGTAAATTTAATGATAAAACGAGGTATGATATTGAGCCAAAGAAGGTTGTTGATCTACCAATAGTCAAAGATGACATAATGAACAAGGATCCAAAATATCAAATAATGAATCAAGAGAAGTCAAATTTTGATCCACGTCTTCGTCATCAAACTATAGAAGAGTCTGACAGTGCAGTTAGAATTCAAACATTTTTAGAAAAGATTCGAAAATGTGCACCAAATGCTGCAGTTTTGCTGAACTTTCCAGTTGATGAAGAAAATGACTGCCCTCCACCATTCACTGAAATTGCAGAGCAAGTTAAATCAACAGCCGGTCTGTCAGAAGTTGCCATGCTAGAAGACTTTATGAATAAAATCTCATTCAGGGATAGTCAGTTTGGTGAACTTGAAAAGCTCACAAAGGGGCAAGCAGATAACAAAATGTGGACAGTTCAAAGAACAGGACGAATTACTGCTTCAAACTTTCATGATGTGAAGACCAAGATGAAAGAAATACTTGCATCAAGAAGCTCTGTTAAGCCAGCTACAACTCCTCTTTTGGTAAAACTGACTCAAGCCACAAAAATTGACAACATTGTTGCGATAAAATGGGGGAAGCAAAATGAGAACAATGCCAGAGAGGCATTTTTCCAAGCCATTGCAGCAGAGCACAAATCCCCAAAGTTAAGAATGTGTGGACTCAAAGCTTTTAAGAGTGCACCTTTCCTTGCTGCCAGTGCTGACAACATATTTTCTTGTGCCTGTTGTGAAGTGGCATGTGTGGAGTACAAATGTCCATATTCTATAAGAAACTACTGCGTTAGTGATAAGTGGCAAGATCTACCATACTTGAAGCAAGAGGCTGTAATTTTGCACTTAAACAAGAGTCATAAGTACTACACTCAGGTACAAGGTCAGATGGCTGCAAATGATTGCAAACATTCATATTTTGTTGTATTTACAACAGTTGGCAGACCCCTTGTACTCAATGTGGTATTTGATCCTAGTTTCTGGAATTTACTCTACCCAGACCTTGTTTTGTTTTTCAAACTTTATGTTGCAAAGGTTTTGCTGGGGATTAGAGAAATTAAGTTTTGTGCTGTATGTCATAAACACATTCTTGAGCAAAATGAGATTGCTCAAAGTGGTTGCCAGAGCAATGATCAGGTACACTGCAGCAAAAGTTCCTTGACATTTCACAAAAGCTGCTGTAAAAATTACAGTCTGATGTCCTTTTGGGTTTGTGACGACTGTGGTGTTTAAAGAAACAGGCAAAGAGAACACTCAGTGTTAGAAGAAACAATTAAAAAACCTAATGACACAAAATGATTATTAATTATTTGATATGATAATGTTAAGTGAAGCATTAAAAAAGTCAAACATTCTTTTGTCTTAAACCTTCACAGAAACCCTTTGACCATGAACTGTGATAGAATGATTGTATTTATAAATAATAAACTTTTCACAAATGCAATGAATAACTTTTTCAATGAATTTCAAGTGGTCTTAATGGCACTCAAATGCACTTAGAATATCAACAAAACCAAAAACAAACAATTAATATTCATGGGCACATTACTCCTTTAAAAATTCAAAACTCAAAATTATAATTTTGCTTTTAAAAAGGGAAGTATGGGAAGTTATTTGTTGGAAGGTTTTAGCATGTGTTTGGACAAGGTTATTTTTAATGAAATTGAAGGTGCATCTTAAAAAGCTACGTTTTTATAAAGGAATCCTTTTAAGATGTGAAAATAAACTTAAAAGTTTAAGATACAAGAGCTGCACATACTTTTACAATATCATTAACAACAGGAAGTAAGGAAATTGGCAGTTCATTTTTTAAAATTTGGAACTCCTTTAGTTTACGGATAGCTTGTTCAACATATATTCTTGCATTTGCAACCCTGGATGTCTTAGCTACATCTATCTCATTCAGTTGTAAGTTCTTCTGGGTTGATGGTGGTCTTGCAAGGGTGCACTGGTAAAAAGCTAATAAATCCTCTATTTTGAAGCCTCTGTCAGCCATCACTGCATCACCTGGTTGAAGTAGTTGTAAAAAGTCTGAACTTTCTACTATGCACTTATCACTAGCTCTGCCACCATATGCATCTGAAACATAACTGAATGCTCCATTGGGCGTTATTCCCAACAACACCTTCACTGTTGAATGGTGCTTGTATTCACTCCAGCAAAGGGCCTGTGCTTTGAGGCTTGAAGGGGTCTCAATAAAAAGCTCTGTGCAATCAATAATTACTCTGCACTTCTTATAATATCGCCGAAATACATCAGGCAAATTTGGTTGAATTTGAAATCCGTCAGGCCATGCTATGAATGGTTTCAGCTCTAAGGACATCAGGCGAAACCAGGTAAACAGTATAGAGCTGACTTGGCTTGTGCTAATACTAAATGTATGAGCAAGGTACTCGGTCAGCAAACCAAGTCTCAGCCTTTGCATGACCATGAACAATTCTTCCTCAAGGAGAAGTTTCCTATTTCCATGGATACTATGTCTTTTGAAGAGGCTGACTGAAGTATTCTTTGGGCCTCTCCAATAGACCATTGTCACAGCCTGTGGCTGAAGGTACTCAAAAACAGCTTGAAAAACTTCAGCATTCTCCAAACCTGTAAACAATTTGACATCACTGTCCCTTGTAAGTTTTTCAAATTTTATGCATGGACTTGCAAACGGTCTCTCTGTCTGATAATCATTGACCCCTGAAGTCCCTTGAGAAGATGTCTGATCATCGTTGACAGAAGAATGTTTTACAATCTTTCTTCTTTTTCTAGGAGACTTTTTTGTACCATCACTCACTTTAAGATACAATGTTGGGTTTGGATATGAAAATGTTGGCTTTCCAAACTGAAAATGATTGGAGCAGACCACTTGATGATCAGTAGCCTTAAAATCTTTTCGTCCTTTGCCAATATTGTTCTCCCAAATGACACGTTTTGCAGGATCTTTTGTCATGTAGTGCCATTTGAGCTCTCCCTCTACATGACTCCTCTTGACTATCTTATCTGGATATTTGTTGTCATTGTCGCATCCACCAACACAGCACCTGTAGTGAGGCATTCTGAGCTAGAAGGGGAATATTTACTATCTGTGATAACTGTTTAATTCAACAAATTTTTTTGAAACAACTCCGACCAAATAATACTATAACTTATAGGGAAGTTGAAAACTATTAAAACTGAAATAATTTGCAACACCTCTGTATGGAAATTGGCTACTAGCGTTGATAATATTCTTTATGAACTTATTTGCTTTGAAGCAGCGGAATTAATGATGAGTATTTTGCATTAAGAAAACCTTTAGATGTCATGCGATGCCGGCCAAAATCTTCGGTGGGCCTAACAACATCGACATAACCACGAGTTCCTCTGTTTTACGACAATCAATATTCAAAGGGATTGTTGGAAAAAATAGCTAAAAAAAGTCTAAACGAAGAATTCTTACCTTATTCGTAAATGGATGCGTGTCTGATTCAATTCGAAGTTTCCAAATAGCGAAAGAAGTATGGTAAGCGTGGTCTCTGGGCTCTGTTTACTAGCAACGCAAACAATCCCTCGCGAAGATCCTGATTACCCATGATGCACTGTTTTATCGAAAGCGCGTATTCAGATAATTTATAGGATCTTAGGGGGTACATGTAGAAAAATATGTATAATTCGTGTTTGAGATCAGATTTCTATTGAGAACGGGATATTTCGGATTGAGAATAGAAAGAGAGGCTGAATTTATATTTTTCATAGAAACTTAGGCGGTAAATATAGAAAAATATATAATATTGCGAATTTTAAATAAGATTACCATCCAGAACAGGATATTTCGAATTGAGAATGGAAAGAGAGGCTGAATTCAGATAATTTATAGGATCTTAGGGGGTACATGTAGAAAAATATGTATAATTCGTGTTTGAGATAAGATTTCTATTGAGAACGGGATACTTCGGATTGAAAATAGAAAGAAAGGCTGAATTTAAATTTTTCATAGAAACTTAGGGGGTAAATATAGAAAAATATATAATATTGCGAATTTTAAATAAGATTTCCATCCAGAACAGGATAATTCGAATTGAGAATGGAAAGAGAGGCTGAATTCAGATAATTTATAGGATCTTAGGTGGTATATGTAGAAAAATATGTATAATTCGTGTTTGAGATAAGATTTCTATTGAGAACGGGATATTTCTGATTGAGAATAGAAAGAGGGGCTGAATTTAGATTTTTCATAGAAACTTAGGGGGTACATATAGAAAATATATGAAAATGCGAATTTTAAATAAGATTACCATCCAGAACGGGACATTTCGAATTGAGAATGGAAAGAGAAGCTGAATTCAGATAATTTATAGGATCTTAGGGGGTACATGTAGAAAAATATGTATAATTCGTGTTTGAGATAAGATTTCTATTGAGAACGGGATATTTCTGATTGAGAATAGAAAGAGAGGCTGAATTCAGATATTTTAGAGAATGTTGGGGAGACATGTAGAAAAATATGTATAATTCGTGTTTGAGATAAGATTTCTATCCAGTACGGGATATTTCGGATTGAGAATAGAAAGAGAGGCTGAATTTAGATTTTTCATAGAAACTTAGGGGGTAAATATAGAAAATATATGAAAATGCTAATTTTAAATAAGATTACCATCCAGAACGGGTTATTTCGAATTGAGAAAAGAAAGAGAGGCTGAATTCAGATATTTTAGAGAATGTTGGGGAGACATGTAGAAAAATATGTATAATTCGTGTTTGAGACAAGATTTCTATTGAGAACGGGATATTTCGGATTGAGAATAGTAAGAGAGTCTGAATTTAGATTTTTCATAGAAACTTAGGGGGTAAATATAGAAAATATATGAAAATGCTAATTTTAAATAAGATTACCATCCAGAACGGGATATTTCGAATTGAGAATAGAAAGAGAGGCTGAATTCAGATATTTTAGAGAATGTTGGGGAGACATGTAGAAAAATATGTATAATTCGTGTTTGAGACAAGATTTCTATTGAGAACGGGATATTTCGGATTGAGAATAGTAAGAGAGTCTGAATTTAGATTTTTCATAGAAACTTAGGGGGTAAATATAGAAAATATATGAAAATGCTAATTTTAAATAAGATTACCATCCAGAACGGGATATTTCGAATTGAGAATAGAAAGAGAGGCTGAATTCAGATATTTTATAGGATCTCAGGGGCTACATGTAGAAAAATATGTATAATTCGTGTTTAGATAAGATTTTTATCCAGAACGGGATATTTCGGATTGAGAATAGAAAGAGAGGTTGAATTTAGATTTTTCATAGAAACTTAGGGGGTACATGTAAAAAAATTTGTATAATTCTTGTTTGAGATAAGATTTCTATCCAGTACGGGATATTTCGGATTGAGAATAGAAAGAGAGGCTGAATTTAGATTTTTCATAGAAACTTAGGGGGTAAATATAGAAAATATATGAAAATGCTAATTTTAAATAAGATTACCATCCAGAACGGGTTATTTCGAATTGAGAATAGAAAGAGAGGCTGAATTCAGATATTTTAGAGAATGTTGGGGAGACATGTAGAAAAATATGTATAATTCGTGTTTGAGACAAGATTTCTATTGAGAACGGGATATTTCGGATTGAGAGTAGTAAGAGAGTCTGAATTGAGATTTTTCATAGAAACTTAGGGGGTAAATATAGAAAATATATGAAAATGCTAATTTTAAATAAGATTACCATCCAGAACGGGATATTTCGAATTGAGAATAGAAAGAGAGGCTGAATTCAGATATTTTAGAGAATGTTGGGGAGACATGTAGAAAAATATGTATAATTCGTGTTTGAGACAAGATTTCTATTGAGAACGGGATATTTCGGATTGAGAATAGTAAGAGAGTCTGAATTTAGATTTTTCATAGAAACTTAGGGGGTAAATATAGAAAATATATGAAAATGCTAATTTTAAATAAGATTACCATCCAGAACGGGATATTTCGAATTGAGAATAGAAAGAGAGGCTGAATTCAGATATTTTATAGGATCTTAGGGGGTATATGTAGAAAAATATGTATAATTCGTGTTTGGGATAAAATTTCTATTGAGAACGGGATATTTCGTATTGAGAATAGAAAGAGAGGCTGAATTCAGATAATTTATAGGATCTTAGGGGGTACATGTAGAAAAATATGTAAAATTCGTGTTTGAGATCAGATTCTATTGAGAACGGGATGTTTCGGATTAAGAATAGAAAGAGAGGCTTAATTTGAATTTTTCGTAGGATCTCAGGGGCTACATGTAGAAAAATATGTATAATTCGTGTTTAGATAAGATTTTTATCCAGAACGGGATATTTCGGATTGAGAATAGAAAGAGAGGGTGAATTCAGATAATTTATAGGATCTTAGGGGGTACATGTAGAAAAATATGTATAATTCGTGTTCGAGATCAGATTTCTATTGAGAACGGGATATTTCGAATTGGGAACAGAAAGAGAGGCTGAATTTAGATATTTTATAGGATCTTAGGGGGTACATGTAGAAAAATATGTATATTTCGTGTTCGAGTTAAGATTCCTATTAAGAACGGGATATTTCGGATTGAGAATAGAAAGAGAGGCTGAATTCAGATAATTTATAGGATCTTTGGGTGTACATGTAGAAAAATATGTATAATTCGTGTTTGAGATCAGCTTTCTATTGAGAACGGATATTTCGGATTGAAAATAGAAAGCGAGGCTGAATTAAGATATTTTATAGGATCTTAGGGGGTACATGTAGAAAAATATGTATAATTAGTGTTTGAGATAAGATTTCTATTGAGAACGGAATATTTCGGATTTAGAATAGAAAAAAAGGCTGAATTTAGATTTTTCATAAAATCTTAGGGGGTAAATATAGAAAAATTTATAAAAATTCGAATTTTGGATGAGATTACTATCCAGAACGGGATATTTCGAATTGAGAATAGAAAAAAAGGCTCAATTCAGATATTTTATAGGATCCTAGGGGGTACATGTAGAAAAATATGTATATTTCGTGTTCGAGATAAGATTTCTATTGAGAACGGGATATTTCGGATTGAGAATAGAAAGAGGCTGAATTCACATTTTTCATAGAAACTTAGGGGGAACATGTAGAAAAATATGTATAATTCGTGTTTGAGATAAGATTTCTATAGTGAACGGGATATTTCGGATTGAGAATAGAAAGAGAGCCTGAATTCAGATACTTTATAGGATCTTAGGGGGTACATGTAGAAAAAAATGTAAAATTGGTGTTTGAGATCAGATTTCTATTGAGAAGGGGATATTTCGGATTGAGAATAGAAAGAGAGGCTGAATTTAGATTTTTAATAGGAACTTAGGGGGTAAACATAGAAAATATATAAAAATGCGAATTTTAGATAAAATTACCATCCAGAACGGGACATTTCGAATTGAGAACAGAATGAGAGGCTGAATTTAGATATTTTATAGGATGTTGGGGGGACATGTAGAAAAATATGTATAGTTCATGTTTAGATAAGATTTCTATTCAGAACGGTATATTTCGAATTGAGAACAGAGAAAGAGGCTTAATTTGAATTTTTCATAGGATCTCAGGGCTACATGTAGAAAAATATGTATAATTCTTGTTTGAGATAAGATTTTTATCCAGAACGGGATATTTCGGATTGAGAATAGAAAGAGAGGCTGAATTTAGATTTTTCATAGAAACTTAGGGGGTAAATATAGAAAAATATATAATATTGCGAATTTTAAATAAGATTACCATCCAGAACAAGATATTTCGATTTGAGAATGGAAAGAGAGGCTGAATTTAGATAATTTATAGGATCTTAGGGGGTACATGTAGAAAAATATGTATAATTCGTGTTTGAGATAAGATTTCTATTGAGAACGGGATATTTCGGATTGAAAATTGAAAGAGAGGCTGAATTTAGATTTTTCATAGAAACTTAGGGGGTAAATATAGAAAATATATGAAAATGCGAATTTTAGATAAGATTACCATCCAGAACGGGACATTTCGAATTGAGAACAGAAAGAGAGGCTGAATTCAGATATTTTATAGAATGTTGGGGGGATATGTAGAAAAATATGTATAATTCGTGTTTGAGATAAGATTTCTATCCAGAACGGGATATTTTGGATTGAGAATAGAAAGAGAGGCTGAATTTAGATTTTTCATAGAAACTTAGGGGGTAAATATAGAAAAAAATATAATATTGCGAATTTTAAATAAGATTACCACCCAGAACAGGATATTTCGAATTGAGAATGGAAAGAGAGACTGAATTCAGATTATTTATAGGATCTTAGGTGGTATATGTAGAAAAATATGTATAATTCGTGTTTGAGATAAGATTTTTATTGAGAACGGGATATTTCGGATTGAAAATAGAAAGAGAGGCTGAATTTAGATTTTTCATAGAAACTTAGGGGGTAAATATAGAAAAAAATATAATATTGCGAATTTTAAATAAGATTACCATTCAGAACAGGATATTTCGAATTGAGAATGGAAAGAGAGGTTGAATTCAGATTATTTATAGGAATGTAGAAAAATATGTATAATTCGTGTTTGAGATAAGATTTCTATTGAGAACGGGATAATTCGGATTGAGAATTGAAAGAGAGGCTGAATTTAGATTTTTCATAGAAAGTTAGGGGGTAAATATAGAAAATATATGAAAATGCGAATTTTAGATAAGATTACCATCCAGAACGGGACATTTCGAATTGAGAACAGAAAGAGAGGCTGAATTCAGGTATTTTATAGAATGTTAGGGGGACATGTAGAAAAATATGTATAATTCGTGTTTGAGATAAGATTTCTATCCAGAACGGGATTTCGGATTGAGAATAGAAAGAGAGGCTGAATTTAGATTTTTCATAGAAACTTAGGGGGTAAATATAGAAAAAAATATAATATTGCGAATTTTAAATAAGATTACCACCCAGAACAGGATATTTCGAATTGAGAATGGAAAGAGAGGCTGAATTCAGATAATTTATAGGATCTTAGGGGGTACATGTAGAAAAATATGTATAATTCGTGTTTGAGATAAGATTTCTATTGAGAACGGGATATTTCGGATTGAAAATAGAAAGAGAGGCTGAATTTAGATTTTTCATAGAAACTTAGGGGGTAAATATAGAAAAAAATATAATATTGCGAATTTTAAATAAGATTACCATTCAGAACAGGATATTTCGAATTGAGAATGGAAAGAGAGGCTGAATTCAGATTATTTATAGGATCTTAGGTGGTATATGTAGAAAAATATGTATAATTCGTGTTTGAGATAAGATTTCTATTGAGAACGGGATAATTCGGATTGAGAATTGAAAGAGAGGCTGAATTTAGATTTTTCATAGAAAGTTAGGGGGTAAATATAGAAAATATATGAAAATGCGAATTTTAGATAAGATTACCATCCAGAACGGGACATTTCGAATTGAGAACAGAAAGAGAGGCTGAATTCAGGTATTTTATAGAATGTTAGGGGAACATGTAGAAAAATATGTATAATTCGTGTTTGAGATAAGATTTCTATCCAGAACGGGATTTCGGATTGAGAATAGAAAGAGAGGTTGAATTTAGATTTTTCATAGAAACTTAGGGGGTAAATAAAGAAAAATATATAATATTGCGAATTTTAAATCAGATTACCATCCAGAACAGGATATTTCGAATTGAGAATGGAAAGAGAGTCTGAATTCAGATAATTTATAGGACCTTAGGGGCTACATGTAGAAAAATATGTATAATTCGTGTTTGAGATAAGATTTCTATTGAGAACGGGATATTTCTGATTGAGAATAGAAAGAGAGGCTGAATTTAGATTTTTCATAGAAACTTAGGGGGTAATTATAGAAAAATATATGGAAATGCGAATTTTAAATAAGATTACCATCCAGAACAGGATATTTCGAATTGAGAATGGAAAGAGAGTCTGAATTCAGATAATTTATAGGACCTTAGGGGCTACATGTAGAAAAATATGTATAATTCGTGTTTGAGATAAGATTTCTATTGAGAACGGGATACTTCTGATTGAGAATAGAAAGAGAGGCTGAATTTAGATTTTTCATAGAAACTTAGGGGGTAAATATAGAAAAATATATGGAAATGCGAATTTTAAATAAGATTACCATCCAGAACAGGATATTTCGAATTGAGAATGGAAAGAGAGTCTGAATTCAGATAATTTATAGGACCTTAGGGGCTACATGTAGAAAAATATGTATATTTCGTGTTTTAGACATAGAGTTAAGAACGCTAGAGTGCGCACTCGGACCCAATCTATTGTTTTGAAGTGTGGCGAGTATGCACAGGCAAGATGGCGGATATAGAGTGGCAAAAGAGCACAGAGGCAAAATTAGCTGTTTTTGGTCAGGTTTTTAACACAAAAGTGACAATTTGACAAGGTTTACCGGCAGGATGTGACCGGAAAAGCAAGTAAGGGATATGAGAAGGGCAAATAATAATCACATTATTGGAAAAAGTAGCTGTAAATGGTCAACAGCGACGTAACGACGTGTCGTTGGCAAGCCCCGTTAAATCAAGTTTGGATCAAGGTTTGTTGTTTAAAGTATGTCATAAAACTAAATATAGCTTTTAACGCTTAGTTATCAAATATTTAAGCTAATCGTGATAAAATAGAACATTTTTAAGTAGTTTCTGTCTTTTTGAAACTCTGTTGGCCTTAACAATGCGTTCAGTGTGCACTTTTCCAAACTGGCAGATGAAAATTTTGAGATAATATCTCGAGATGTGCTTTACAAGAGTAGTAATGTGATCCTCTTTCATCTCTCCTAGTAAATGGGATTGCATTGAATGATCTTCTAAGGACAAAAATACCCGATTTTTCACAATTTGTATTACGCTGACCACAACCTTTTCTACACTACTCCTTGATACATCTTGCCATTGAAGTAATAGTTCCCTTGCCAATTTGTCGGTCACTTTCACCACTTCAAAAGTGGATAGAGAAGGAACAAATAAATTGCCATATGCTTTGAATGACAGAAGAGTGGACTTCATCTTGAACACTTGATCCCTCCGTGCACTTGGTTGATACAATGCAACTGCACATTCAGGACATTTCATGGTGGCAACCATTTTTTTGGCAATGTAGCCACTGATGTAGTACAATGCATCAAACCTCCAGTTTGTGGATGTGTTTAACAAGGCATGGACAGCAGGATCAATAGTTTGGCTTTTGTCATTAAAAGTTGTATCATCAATAACATCATTGGTGCCCTCTGGCAAATCATTCAAGGCTGTGATGCAATTGGCAGTATTTGGAGCCTCAACATTGTTCCTAATAAGGAGTGCTCTTATTGCATGTTTGAATTGCAAAGCATTTGGATTGTTGTTCCATCCAAAACGACCTCTGATCTTACTGAAGAACATTTCAAGTGCATCTTGGGAGAACCTGTATGACATGACATAGCTAAAGCTATTGGATTCCCTTGAAAGTAGAGACCTACTTATTGCTAGGATGGACTTTGCAGTGGTAAGAAAACCAACTATAAATGTCTTTCGCCTACCCTGATGTATAAGATTGCCCTCTGAATCACGCAGTTTTGTCAAGTAATCTCCAGTTTCTTGTACATAGTTTTCTATAACGTCAATATTATCTAGATATATTGGTTGTTTTGTTTTCTTTTTACAGCAATCTGACTTGGGATTTCAAGGCCATTACAGCTGTAGTCAGATGCTTTGAAATGTTTCTCACACAAAACTGAACTCTTAGTGGGTGTCCAATTTTGGCGTCTTGTGGCAGTAACCCATTTGCATAGCAAGTCTGGTTTATTTATTGGAAACCTGTAAAAGTTGTTTAGTAGTTATCAGCTTTCTAAAGCAATCTTGTGTCATGATCATTCTGTTTTTGCAATAATTTCTTTTAGTTCTATGTACTTAGAATGAAATAAACCCAAGTCTTATCATAGGTACATTAGAAAAGTTGAAACATTGAATAAATGATTGGTATTTTTACATTATTTTCCAAAGCTAAGATATTTGTATTACAGACAACAGGATTTCGAAGATAATTAATAGAGAGTGCGGGAAAATAACCGACCCAAGCGAGGCTCAAACTCACTCAATAAGAGAGGGGCAGTGCGGGTGAATGACTCGGCCTTGGGTGTTGGCTTGAAAGCACGACCCGATAGCTCAGCGGTAGAGCACTTGACGTACATAGTCAGGGGTCGTGAGTTCGAGCCTCGCTCGGGTCAGTTATTTTCCCGCACTCTCTATTAAATGTTTGTATTAATGAAATAATTTCAAAGAAATGTAAGTAAATATATAGAACAAGTCATCAAATTAGTACTGTTTCCATTCTTTTTTAATGTTTTGATTTCTGATATAAAAGATTGTTGTAATCCTTTAGTAATCCTACCCATAGATTGCCAATAAGAATTATCTGTTCACCAAAGAAAATTGTTAATATTGCTGTCAGATAGTAAAATGCCTTTAAGAACAAAGAAAATATAAATTAACTGTTAACAGGGGTTTAAAAACTGGTGATTCAAAACTCAAACAATAGCATATGCTGATAAGTCTGAAATTTGAATGACAAGAGGGGAGGGTTTCTTGTAGAGAACAAATTGTTTTGTCCCACTACTGGTGGACTCTGTTTGGTCCAGCATCCATTGCTATGCTCACGTGTTATTCTATAAAAATATGCTCATATGATAGGCCCCAATTTGTGGTTTGCCCTAATAGAATTGCATCATTTAAAGATATTCTTGGGGGGAGTTCTCAATCCAGTAAATTTAATCATGTATCAAAATTAAATCTCAGCAATGTTTGACAATTGCCAGGGCCATGGAAAGGATAGCCAAGGGCCCCGGGTCAGTAACCCCCTGACCCCCTTGGCAATGGGTTACATGGATCCGTGAGATATTTGCAACAGGCATTCAGACCAGGTAGATTTCCCTGCCTGGGTTGCAAGCTTAGGAAACAGTTTAAAATGGTATATTTCCCTTGATGTATATACTATGTACATAGGCCCCGATGAAAGTGGGGGTGGGGGGCAAGGGCACATCCAAGGCTCATAATAAAAGATTTTGCTACCAAGCTCTCTTTGTTTGAACAAATTTTTAGGCGGTCCTGTTGTTTAACAACATTTTCTTGTGCGACCCATTCCCGTACACCAGGGTATTCGACCATCACCCTCCCTGGTGAACCAAGTCTCCATACGAAATTATTTTGGTTTTTGTCCACTGGACCACTCAAGGGCTAACTCCCTTCCTTAAGGTTAAAAATTGGCTTTTTGGAGTTATAAGTAAAAATAAAAAAATATAATTGGCTCAATTTTGTTTTAAACTGAAGCTACTTGCATTCTTACTTACTTGTGGAAGGTTAAATTTTTATTTTCCCCTTCACTCCTTATTGTGCAATTGTAAGCTGAACAAGACTTCGGCATATTGAACAACGTAATCGTATACTTGTACACTGTTAACAATAAAGATAAACGATAGAAACGCGAATAGAAACGAGCTGATAGCGTATGGTCGCAGAAATACCGAAATGAGTAAACAAAGTTTCGCGCGCAATCTTTTTGCCACTCTAAAGCTACCATCTTGAATCCCCTGTGCTGCCACAGGTCACGTGGTACTGTCGGCACTCTAGCGTTCTTAACTCTATGATCCAGTCACACTTCCATTATCTTTGATTCCATCAAATTGCTTCTAAAAACGGGATACGAAATAGAATTTTTTAAATAATATTTATCAGTCTAATGCTTAAAGAAGCGCAGTACATTTCCCATGATTTGTCAAGAACTTTCTCCGTTCGAGATCGACCCATGAAACATAGGCGGCGCAAGGTGGAGAGCTGGGGGCTTCAGCTCCCCCCCATTTTTCCTTGCAAAAATTTATTTTTGAGCAAATAAAAAGAGCATTTGAAAAAGTATAAAGTATTGAAATTGACCAAATAGAGTTGGGTGACGATACCCCCCCCCCCCCTTCCTCGCCTGGTCTATAAGGCCTCCGCCAACCTTCCGCGGCCCCTTCAAACATATCGCTAGCATAATGAGTGCCCCATAAAATAATAGGCGTAAAATATCGTGAAGCGTTTCAGTGCGTTTTTCAAAAGATGGTTCTTTAGTCAAATAATTCTATCAACTCGAGCCCCCCCCCCCCCCCTTGGAATTTCTTGGCGCCGCCCCTGTGAAAGACTAAACGACCTCATGATTCTTACTTGCGAGAATAACATTAAGGACAACGTAAATTTAGATCAGATAGTGGAGCAATGGACAAGTCGTGGAAGGAGAAAAATTAACACCTGATTTTTGGACTACGTATGTTTTGATGCACTAATTAAACTAACAGTTTTTATGCTCGATCTTCCAAATTTACGAAATCTAGAAACTTTATGATACAGCTGAATAATTATTTACGAGACAATTTATTGGTTAAAGGGTTTGTTGCTAAAAAACTATTAAAGTTTACGCCCTCGTACAAAATTAGAATTGACATTTGCCATTCGGAAATTTTGAGCCCTTCACCCCCCCCCCCACCCCTCTCCCATTTTTAGGGGGTATTCAAAATATAAAGAAAGTTCGCGACAAAAATTTGCACCTACGTTTTGTGGGCACGATTCAGTTAAAATTTTTAAATCTATCGTAACAGATTTTACACCGGGCAATATTAGTGGGTAGTGCTTAAATGAATAAAAGTGGCCTTCCTTGCGTTTGTTTACCGCTTCTTGTTATCTGATTGGTCAGAACTCGGGGGTGTGTCTGCCGTATTAACCAATCAAAGACTTGAAGCTCATGCTGCGTTGGGCGAATTTCAGCATGGTATCAAGGCTGGGCGTGGGATCTGATTCCAAAAGCTGAAGTTGACGATCCGATGGCAAAGCTTTCATAAATTGGTGGCGTAGCAGAGCAATTTATGATACAAATATTGATTAGATCATGGCAACGCAACGTGCTTCGATTGTAGAATCGCATGTTTTATTAGATTGTTCACAGCAAGTTACTGCGAAGTGTTCTACCCGTGTACGATCAATTTTGATGTTCCTAGTCAAATACTACAAGCATGCAATTTTGGCACCCCTTATCCCCTGCCACCACGCCACTGTGAAAAGGGTGCCGTAAAGGCTGATGAACCTGTTATCTTAATTGCGCAATATCCCAGGCAGGGACAGTTGAAGATTTCAAAGTTGAAGAGGCACAGGTGGGAAGGGAAGAAGTCGTAGAAAAAGGGGCACTTTTCGAAGAGGTTTGAGTTGAAGGGCATATGCCCCTAGAGCATCTCTGCTTCCAACGTCGCTTATTCCGAGGGTATAGGAAGTCTTTTTAAACTAGTGTTCTTTGATGACCCACAATACCCTCAGAAAGTTCAATCTTTGTTTACCTCTCTGCCCAATATTTTTTTAATTATGGTAGAACAACACAACAGCGTAGTAAATTCATCCCATTTGGAAAAATGAATTTAGAAAATGGCCACCTTTGCCCGTCAGCATCAGATATGTGCTGTTAAACTTGAGTAGATAGCTCTGGGCTAGTGAACATTTTGGGCTCGAGATTTTATTTGTGTCACATTTTCAATGTACTTTGTAAGGCAACTGAACCACCCCTGTAAGAGAATATGACAGAGAAAGGGACAAGAAAATTACTATATGCAGCTATTTATGCGAATGAGAATTAATAAGCAAGTTTACAAGCATATAGCAGCTTGACTGAACTGATCAATTATATAAAGTTTAATGCAGAAAAATTGCAAAACACTACAGTTTGATCATAGTTTAGCTACATCTACTTGCATCGCGTACAGCCTTTGTTGCTACACTTTGTGAAAGGTGGACAAGAAGGTTCCTTGTCAGAACTCGTACACCTGACGATCTGAGGTTTCCAGGTAAGCCACTTTCCTGTGCTTACTTGTTTAGTGTCAACTTGCAGCTGCCACATACATCCTCCCTTGAACTGGGCTCCACTGTCGTAGAACTCACAAGCAAAGTTGATGCTACTTGTCTCAGAATGGCTTTTTGTCCAAGCAGTTGACAAGGAAGTTGAAACTGTGGTGGACACTGAGGCTGAACCAAACTTCAGGTCCGATTCAATGGAAGATGCTACCTCTATTGTGACAGTCTTTGTCACTGTGGATTCATATGTGACTGAATTTTCAATTGAATGAGAAACCTGTCCGTTTTCATTGCAGCCAACCAAAAACCATTTTGCAGTTGGAGGTGTCCACTTCCCGGCTTCCCATTTAAATCGCTGATCAGACAAACCTTCGCAATCATGAGTTTTAACACTTCCTTTACCATCTTTTCCTGAAACATCCAAACATTTATTGGATCTCTTGTTTACAAATGAGCAGTAACCGTCATTGCACAGCTTTTTTGGTTGAGACCACATTTGATCTCGTTTGTCTTGACAGTAATACATCTGAATATTGCCTGTACCATCATCTCCTTTGACATCTAAACATCGTTTGGACTTCTCATTGACAATTTCCCCATTTTCGTAGAACCGGAACCATTGGTCTTGCTTGTCTTCACATTCTTTTACATTAACGTTTCCTTTACCGTCGCTACCACTTACGTCAAGGCATCTTCGGGACTTTTCGTTTATGAGTCTTCCAAAGGCGATTTGCTTACCTCGGGAACGGAAGTAGAAGTACTGATCATTCTTGTTTTCGCATTTATACATCTGGATCTTGCCAGTCCCATCTGATCCTTTCACGTCAAGGCACTTGCCTGATTTCAAATTGATGATCTCTCTTGCTTCTTGTTTGATCCCACCATTGTCATGAAATGTTTTCTTTCTTCCCAACCTCCATCTCTGATTCTTGGGGATCTGTGGGTAAAGGTTGCATCTTTTTGACTTGACTTTGCCATCGCCCTTTCCGTTTGGAGTGAAGCAGAAATTCAACCTCTCATTGCGGATCGTGCCGTCACCACAGAGAATGATCTGCTGGTCTTCACGCCCATCGCACTTGTGGGTTTGCACAGTCCCTTCTCCATCGGTCCCCCCTATGTCAACGCATCTCTTCGACTTTAAATTCCACAGCTCTCCAATTACCAAGGGATTTGTGCAGAGGACCTGGGCGGATCCAAGTAAGAACAGGTTTGATAACGAAATAGCTGCGAGAATTATAATCATCATATTTGACTTTGAATACATCGGAGACATCTTTTGTCTTTCAATACCCTAAAATACAAATTAAATCATAAAGCAACCACCATAATTGAATAAAGTATTGTTTCTTTTTCTCACGTCCAAATGCATTTTTATTGTAAAATCAGTGTGAATAACAAGAGGTACACGATTCTGGGAGAAAATTGGCTTTTTTGTTAACGAAAGAACCAGAATCTTTGCAAAACTGCTGGCCAGCAGAGAAATCTTTTTTTGGTCTGGCAAGATTAAGTTAGAAGAAATATTGGCTTATATCCACATTAGAATATGGAACAAAGCCTTCCCTTAAAAACCTTTGCAGGGGCGTTTCACTAGTTATACTCATATATGGTATGTTGTATGGAAAACACTTTGACTGCACTCATCTTTCAAGGTATTTAGACACCAAGATCGAATGCAATGGTATTCAAAGTCAAAATTTAGGGCATTCGGTTGAATTTCCTCAATATTCATCTAGGAGAGGAAAAACAGAATAACCAACCCGTACAGGTTTTTTCGATGTTTCAAAGACCTCTGCAATGAAAAATCAACGACAAAACAACATGTGAAGACACAACATAGGCCTTGATTTATGAAAAAACCACGTCAGTGAAAGCATAATGGAGACAACTTTAATGTTAAAATATCAATAAAACAAATCTATAATAAATTCCAAATGGTTCTGTGTCTTTTATCAGATCTGGTTCCATAGATTTCAGATTTATCCAAACAAACTCTGCTGAAAGCTGAATTGTATGTTTTGCCAACGTTTCCATTTGTTAAACATTAAAATTCGTCGTTATCATGTACATGCCTTATCAATGCAAAGAATGACAAAATGCGCTGCTTAGAAAAAAGCAATGCTCATTAGAGCTGGTGTATGCAGGGTCGTTTTGAGAATTTACCATATTGCCTTTTTGCGTGCAGTTTCTAAGGTGTATTCAGAAAAAAGATTGATAGACTTTGCTTTAATAGTTACAGCATTGGCAAATTATCATTATCAAAATCCTCTAGACTGCGTTTTATCAACCAACCTTATCAAAAAGAAAGAAATTAGAAATATGAATAAAACTCACCTTGTGCCAGAGTGCCAGTCTTGTGATGCCAGACAGGCAACAACCGATTATGCATCGACTTATATTACAACCTATGTTTGCACAACTGCATCGATGCAGATATTATTTTTCGTCTGCATATTATTCAACGGCTGTGCTACGAGATTTCACAGGAATATTCCAGTTATGTAATATTTATACATCTGTCCTACTGATTACAAAGCTTTAAGGAAATTTATAATTGTAATCATCATCATAATCATCATGAGGCCTCATTATCATTGTTAAGTAAGCTTGTCACTATAACCTTCCTTGTCAGTTAAAGCTAATTGGGGTTGGATAATAACTTTTTGATTCAGCAAAGAAACATTTTGAAGCCAGCACCTCTTCTGTAGAATTAAAGAAGAGGGGAAAAGGAGAAAAAACATTTTAGTAAGGCCATTTTTATAATAGATAGACCAAGTGACAGGCCTGTGCATATGGTGAAAAATTTTAGCAGAAACGTAACAGTAGAAACGGCACTTCAGAAGAAAAAGTATATTAATTACTTTTTTTTTATTTCTTATTCATTTCTTGAGATTGGTGTTTGTACAGATCGACCATAAGCAATACGACGGCATGGACAGAGAACCGGTAAAACTAGCGGCTGTAAGCCAATAATTTACTTCTACCACTAATCTACAATGCTGATTTTCGCGGTTTATAATGCAAAGGGGAAATAAACAACAAACATATTAGCAAATACAATTTTAACGTTTACACAGCTTAATTTTCAATACACCCTATGCTGCATACACAAAATGCATAACCATACTTTAAGGACGACCGAAAAATTAACGATGTAAATTGATAGACAATGTTTTCTCTACATCAAGACACCACCCACTTCCTCAACAAACTCCGTCCATTTCTACACTTTCCAGTTATTCCCTCCTCGTCACTCTCGATGTGTCATCCCTATAAATCAACATTATCCCCACTCAGAGGGTATCATAGCTGCCAGGGTACAACTCAACAAACGGACATCTAAATCTCCCCCGACACAAAAAATGTTTGTGACTTTATTGACATAATTTTGACAAACAACAATTTTGATTTTAGCGGACATCATTTTCTACAGAAACGTAGGACAGCAATTGGCACAAGGATAGTACCACCCTTTTCATTTTTTATATTGGTACCTTTGAATCTGATGCACTAGAGAAAGTCTTGTACAAACCTGCTGTATCTCCCTATTAACTCTTGTACAAACCGTACAAACCTCTTGTCTAAGCCTCGTTTCATCGACAATATATTTATGATTTGAACACAAGGACAAGGCAAACTCACTGACTTTATTCATACACTCAATAGAACCCACCCCTCCATCAAATTTACAAGTTGAACACACAATCCATACATTTCCTCGACGTCACAATTTCTATTATTAAAAATAATAGCCTCTAATATCCCCTCAGCACCTTCGCACACCCCAAACACACCAAACAGTCAATCCCATACAGTCTTGCCCTACGACTATGACGAATCTGTTCCGAAGACGAAACGTAAACTTCGTATAAATTACAGAACTCCAAAACATACAAAAATGTCTCCCCTGACGTACACATACTAAGCTACCGCAAACCTAAAATCCTCCGGGATCTACTGGCTCGTGCCAAAGTAAAAAGTGACACGCCCAGTAATCCTAGATCATTTTTTCTACCACCCAAATATTATTGATACAATTATTATTCATCATTATTTTATACCTTTGTCACTCACTAAATGTCAGTGGTAATGGGTTATCAGGTTTTGGCATCAGCAAGATTTCTTAAATGCGTTGCGGTATCATGAACTTCTATACCATGCTCCGTTTCTCCAAAAAATAAGACACTAATTTATTCTTGCTTTTTAAATTATTATTCGGCACCTCTTCTTCAAGCTGAAAAATAGATTGCATATTATTTTTAATATTACCAAGAAACTAAATCTCATTTCGAAAATATTTCCTAAACATCTTTGTTACAAAAAAATTGCATTTCAACCTGCAAAAAGTCAACATCATCAAGAACATCATTGATTTGTTTGTTTTTAAACTTAATTTTGCGATGTTCAACAATACCCAACTTGTCAAGCCATCTATCTAAAAAACGGCTTGCGATTGGTCAGTATTCTTGCGATGCAAAACTGCTCACATGAAAAGCTATGAAATGTAAAATCACATGTTTCTGAAAGCAGAGTTGCTTGCTTTAGCTGGACACATTACTTTTAAAGCACACGTGTGCTAAGCACCTCTTTTACATAACATGAGTGTGTTGACATGACAACAGATATGATATTGGTAGAATTCAATTTTCGCAGCAGCGATTGAAAATTTACTAGTCAATTTGATTGCTTTACATTTTCAAATTTACCTGAATTTCAAAAACCATTTTCAGGTAACAACTCTTGCTCTTATGATAAGTTGCAGCCCTTCTTCAGGACTGTCGCACAGGCGAAGTTTGTTTGAATACTAAACCTTGTCAAGCAATAGATCAGTAGCTAAGCACTTTGTTTCCTTCCCTGGCTGACAAAATCAATGAGAAAAAGGAATTTATTAAATGAAACATAGACAAACTTGTTATATGATTCTTGTTCTGTTTTGTATATAATTCAGTTATAATATCGCAGTTAAGTCTTCAAAACTCCATCGACCGGACAAAGAGATAACACTTAAATTAAATCACGTCCCTCAAATCGGTTTCAAACCTTGAAAAGAAGAGATTACTTGTCTTGATAGTGGCAATTTATAACAATGCACAACCTGTCATGTTTGTAATGCTTTTAGTAATCACAAGAAACACGTTACAGGCTTAAAGAAACACGTAAAGGAAGTACTGGATACGGCATTAGGGACGTGGTAAAATCATGTGCTGATGCAAAACTTAAAGGTAAGAGTGTATGCCTTAACTTTGTAAATACTGCAGAGATACTGTCAAATATTTCACACAGTTGCAATTATGTGTTAAACCAAGCCACAGTAGGAGAGTAACTTAATGATTACACACTTTTCTTTTTATAAGAATATAGCCAACAAAAATATTAACGCTCAGAATCGCTAAGATATGAGTATAATTCGAGAACAGTGCAAGGCTCAAGCTTCATAAAGAAGTTGTTATTTTCTTTATTTGAGTTTTTTTAAAGCAAAACAAATGCGAGATTCATCCTATATGTGAAATAAACGTATCCAGCCTTTTACTCATAAACATTATTATATGACTAAGTTACACCTTTTGTCGCATAATAATTCAAGAATAATCGAAAGCTCGAGCTGAAAAAGGCTTAGAATATCGAGGCTCAACAAATTAAAGGTATTCCTCTAAGAAAATGTGTACCTAAATTATGCCATTGCATGAGTTTGTGTCAGATGCCATAACCGTCAAACCCTGATATGAAATGAGATATTTCGTTACGAGTAGTGAGAAAATATCTGCTGTAATAACTAAGGCGGCGAATCTTTGCAAAAATAAGTCTGATATAACACGTAATATAGTTTTAATAAAGTTTTATCCAAACTTGTAGCGGAAATCGTGGGGATATGGGCGAGCGCCCAATCCCCCCCCCCCCCCAGGTGAGAATTTGTGGGTAAATCTGAGATTTTGTCGGTAAATTTAAATCTGGTTTTGGTTAAAACAATCTTCGTTTGCTCATGGATGAAACTGGCAGTCCCGCGGGCAAACCCAAGTCGTCGCGTCGTGCATACGCTTCTTATCTTTTGATATGTCATTCACGTTTCCTTTATCGCGGCAAGGTGACAAGTGAGTATAACAATCACGCAGGTAGGTAGCCCGTGTTCCAGACCCCTAACTTAAAAGTAGAGACTTGGCATTGGACATTGGAAATTGAACAAAAGGCACTCTTTTACCTAAGGACACAGTGATTTGAATTCTTGAAAAAAAAATCTTAAAATCATTACCGCAAAGTTAGCTAAATTTTTATGGCATCTGCTCCAGACCCTCTACTTTCAAGTTAGGGATCTGGAACACAGGCTAGCAGGTAGGAGGCTCAGATGGGAGGAGGCTCAGCAGGGAGGAGGCAAAACTCAAATCCAGTCGCGCCACTTTTAATTTAGGATGTCCCCGAAAGGAAGCATATCCGGAATAACTCATATCCAGAATAAACTCATCCACAATATAAAATTTATCAGCAAAACAAATAAACCGTGGAGGGGCCCTTACGAATGTTTCAAAAGATTATTATGAGGAAGAATGAACACTTACATACACTCATTTTTTATAAGAAACAATGGTCGATGTTGAGTACTCCAGTTTCTTAATGTTCTGGAAATTTCAGTACTCATTGTTTCTTAAGAGTTTCTTAATTTTGATTCCGCGAATGATGTTATCAAATGTTCGAAAAGCTCAAGTATGCTCTAAAATGTTTGCATTTTCAAAGCCTGCTTAAGTATGCTCTTTCTATATTGTTTTACTAATGCTTATAATTTGGGGGGGGGGACTGAAAAAATGCTAGGGGCACTGGCTACCTTCTTTGCGACACTGGGCTAGAACTCGTTAGAATTTGTCAAAATGCTTTTTTGCATAGACTTTCGGACTAACCTGAAATTTCAGTTATCAGAGCTGACTCGAAAACACCCACCAAAAATCATTAAATTTGATCATCCCTACCTTTTGAATTTATATTAGAGTTTTTCTAATGAATTGACTTTTTATGATTTTGCCCAAGCAAATGCTGTGAAATCAAGAGGACCATTTTCTTTGCATCCCTCTGCTACATCTTTATAGAACAGATATTCTGCAGGAAGTTGGGAACAAGTGCTGTGTATTTTCAGACGGCCGTGGAGCTAGGTAGGCAGTGGATATCATCGTGCTTGTATCAAAGTAATTGGTTGAGATTGAAGTTATTGGTTGAGAATGATGCAAAAGAAAAAAATTAGGCGATGCCTTTTTGCTGTCAGAAAAGGCCCGTTTACCAACAATGAACGCCGATTTTACCAATGAGAAAAGCCCATGCCCAACTATTGGTTATGTAAAGGCAATTTCAAAATCATAGGATTTCATCACAAAAAATACATTGCCACAATATTGGGGGTACGTGTCCTCTCAATGCACAGCGCCCTCCCCCCCCCCCTCACACCGTGGCAGCGTTACAGAGTTGGGGAGCACCTTGTGTATTATCTTTCGCTCACTTCTGAAGCTGAATTTCATTATAGTTGTAATAATAGTCTTCTAAAAGCGACGGGTAATCTGTGCTCATCAATCTTTAAATCTTATCTTGATTGTGAACAAATTTGAGCTAAACTACATGGTTCATCCATGTTTACTTAGAAATAAACTGTCTCGCCTAGCAATGAAAATAGTGAGTGAAAATATTCCAAAAAGTCTGTATCGTATTCAGATTACAATACCTGACGGAAGGTAAATTGCCACAACACAATAAATTCATCGTAACTTTAGGGTAATTTCTCGTAACGATAAAAGCCTGAAGTGTGGCTTACATCAGTAGCGCAAGACTTCTAAACGTGCTTTCTGACGCTTTTGGGTGAGATCTGCGTTCAATAGAATATCTACAGGTCTTACTCGCATGTGTAGTTATGGTATAAATTAACGTATGTTTGGCAGGACTGCTTGGTTACATAATCCTGTATTTTTACAGTTATCTTCTATTTCAATTAAGCTGCACTCATGCTCGTTTATATTCGTTAAAGTGAACATAGATCAAGGCGTAACGGTTTTTTTTAATTTTTTAATTTTTTATTTCAATTTATTTAATTTTCTAATTTTCAATTTACATGTTAAATTTTTTAACAAAATCAAAAGGGTTGGAAATTCAGTACCTGCGATTGAAAACTTTTGACTGCCATTCCAGAGATTGTAATCTGCTTTCTGTGCCTGTTGCGATGGCAACAGGTCCAAGGTTGTACTTGTTGTTGTACTTGCTGTGTCGATTTTTTAATTGATTCTAACATATTGGGTACGCAGATGCTAGCATATTGAGAGCCACGACCGATCTTTGGGCAGCTCAGCTTACACTTGTTACGCTTCACTTGCAACAAACGTGCAAACAGTTTCGTGTTTTACTTACCTTTTAGTGACATAAAATTAACCGAAAAATTACATCACATCACGTTATACATTTAATTAACTAGCATTTCAAATATATCCAGGCAAAATAGTATATATTGTGAAAAATATTTACTTCCCAGAGTATATAGAATTTGATCATGGCTTAAGGAGTATTGTTTTCAGCAGAGGCATAATTGAATACCGCTTTTTGAATATCGAAGGCCAAAACAGGCTGTACCTTAGACTTACTCCAGGAGCCTCTGTTTCGCTACTGCCTCATTTGACGGACGCTACAACAAAGACTCATAATCCAAAGTATTCAAAAACTGGCGCTCAGGACAACTTTTTGTCCTACCAATCACAGAGCAGCTTTCTAAAATACGGATTATGAGTCTTTGTTGTAGCGTCCGTTAAGTGAGGCAGTAGCGAAACAGAGGCTCATGGAGTAAGTCCAATGAGGTAAAAATAAACACTAGAGTGCGAACTCCTAATCGAGGCCCGAGGCCAGCATGCGCACGGCTACCATTTTGAATGCATGGCAAAAAAGTTCCATGCAGTACGGTAGTCATTACGCGTCGCCAGCTTTTCGGCAATATTGATGTTTCTAAACCGCAATGGTAATTTCGTGTACGGCGTACGGATGCCAAAATAGATACGGCAAAAATGTTTTGAGCAGTGATCCTTCAATGGATCCTTTGGGAAACGGAAAACCTATCGCGTTTCATAGGTACGGTATGCCATGCATGTTTTGGCCTAAAAATGTGAAATGTCATACTATGCGAAGAGCCTCGCGGCTGGGAATTTTTTTATCGTCCCTATTTCTATATGGTGAACTTTAAAATGGTTTTGATATTCTTTTGTCGGCGGAGAAAATACAACTTTTCTTTAATGCAAGTTAAGTTTTATGTATGTATTAATTGGTTTGTACATGGCTTTTGCTAGAGGATTTTGAAAAGCGTTTAGTAAATAAATCCTAATAAAGCAAACTTCGAAACATCTAAAATCCTTTAAATTTTGTAATTTTATGTTTCAAAATTTCAACACAAAAAATAGTTGAAATTAATATGCATTGCATTATACTGCAGGTTTCCAGCCAATGAAGCACTCCGTTTGCAATGGGTTAAAGCTATGAGGCGTGATAAGTGGGCCCCATCAAAGTACAGCTACATTTGCAGCGAACACTTTTTGCTCACTGACTACACTGTCCCCCCTGGTCAGCCTTACACAAAATTAAAAAAGTCAGCTGTTCCATCAAAATTTAACTTCCCCCCTCATTTACTACCAAAAGTAAAAAAGGCCCGCCGCTCCATTATCTATGCAAAACCAGTAAAGAAGAAAGCAAGCCCAGCAAAAAACACAAAAAATGCCACATTTAATATCAAGGAACATTCTTATTGTAAAAAAGCTGAAACAAAACAATCACCAACAAAATTAAGACTTAGAAGGAAGATTAAAACTCTACAACAAAATCTAAGAAGAAAAAACAAGAAAATAAAGTCATTGAATGATTTAATTCAAGCTATGACAGACAAAAATCTCCTCAGAGAAGAGCCAGCCAAACTTCTGAAAGACCAATTCTCTGGCCTCACTTTGACAATGTTTGAAAATCAAATAAAGAATTCAAAGCGAAAAGCTGGGGGTAAGAGATACCACGAGGAGATTAAGAAGTTTGCCTTAACCCTTCATTTCTATTCGCCTAAGGCATATCTATTCATGAGGAAAGTCTTTGACCTACCACATCCATCTTCTTTAAGAAATTGGCAGTCTTCTGTGAACTGTGAGCCTGGATTTTTCAAAGATGTTCTAGAAAATCTTGCTGCTCAGCTTGCCAACAACACAAACATGTCTGACTGTGCCTTAATGATAGATGCAATGGCCACAAGGAAGCAAGTGATTTATGACAAGGGCAATCAGAAATTTTCAGGCTTTGTTGATTATGGAGGTTGCATCCCGGAAAACAGTGAAGACCAAGCTTCTGAAGCTCTAGCATTTCTTCTTGTTGGTCTGAGAAGTCACTGGAAATGTCCAATAGGATATTTCTTTACAAATAAGTTAAACGGGCAAATACAGGCATCACTAGTTAAGAGTGCATTGTCCTTGGTTGCTGATTATGGCTTTAGGGTTTGGTCACTAACTTGTGATGGCACATCTGCTAACCTTGAAACACTTAGGTTACTTGGTTGCTCATTCGCACCAAATTACAATGGCATGATAGCCTCTTTCCAACACCCGACTAGGCCATATGATGTTTATGGAGTTCTAGATGCATGCCACATGGTTAAGCTAGCGAGAAATACATTGGGCGAATATGGGAAATTTTCTACAAATTCTGGGGATATTATTTCTTGGGAATATATTGAAAAATTATGCAAGATGCAAGAAGAGGAAGGTTTAACTTTGGCAAACAAAATTAATGTAAACCATGTGCATTGGCAGCAGCATAAAATGAAAGTAAAATATGCAGCTCAGACACTGAGCTCATCAGTTGCTAATGCATTAGAATTCTTAAAGACAGACTTAAAACATGCTGAATTTGAAAATGCTAGTGCAACTATTGTCTTCATAAGAACAATTGATAAAATTTTTGACATCCTCAATTCACGGTTTGCATTTGCCAAAGGCTTTAAACGCCCAATAAGGTTGCAAAACCTTGAATATATCGAGCAAACTTTTGCCCAATCAGCAGAGTATCTTCTGTCCTTGAAATCCAGTGAAAGGCAATTGCTTGTGTTCAGTAGACGCAAAACTTTCATACTTGGTTTTCTAATGACAATGAAATCTATTATGTCAATTGCAAAGGAACTCTTAACTGCACCAGAAAGGCCATTTAACTATGTATTAACTTACAAGTTTTCCCAAGACCACATAGAGTTGCTGTTTGCTTGTATCCGAGGACGAGGTGGTAATAATAACAATCCAAACACCTTACAGTTTAAGTATGCCATAAGGAATTTGCTGCTTAAGAATTCAATTGTTGCATCGAGCCAGGCTAATGTCATGTCATTTGATGAGAATTGCACAGGTTCTTTATTCAGTTTAAAGTGGACAAAGCATAGATCTCCCATATGCGAATATCCAAGCAATGATGATGAAATGACTGATGAGGACGCAAATGCTTTGTCTGAGAGTCTTGATAGGATTTCCTTGTCAAACTTCTCTGAAAACATCATATACTACATTGCAGGATTCATTGTTCGTCGTATCATCAAAAAGCTTGATTGCTCTCAATGTTCTGAAGCCCTCATTCTCAATTGCATGTCAGAGGAACATGACTATGTGACAGCACCATTTTCCCTGTTTCTGGATAGAAAGAACAATGGAGGGCTTATAAAAGTATCATTTGGGGTGCACAAATTAATCACATTATGCGAGAAATCATTCCGGGAGAGAGTTAAAGGTACAAGGAAGGGAGACATGAAAATCAATTCACAAGTTGGATTGATACGGAGAATGACGAACGGCGTGCTACGAAGTCAAGGCGAAAACCTAAGCAAATTATTTCCATCGTTTTCCAAACATGCACACGAAATCGACCCAGTCTTTGAGGATGATCATCTCACACAAGTTGTGAAGAAAATTTGCGAGAAATACTTCCTTCTGCGTATGCAAACTTACGCCAAGCATTACACAAGGCAGATAGTAATGAAAAACACACCAAGTTTACGACACCGGATGAACAAATTAGTTTTGTTTAAAAACACATAAACTTAAAAAACCATAGCTTTTGCTGTTTGCTTCAAATGTTTCGTTTAGAAGTTTTTCGCCAAATATTAAATCCTTCATTTTAAGTGAAATATTTTATAAAGTAATTCGCTTCGAAGCTAGTTTGGTTTATTAAGGTAGGCAATGCACTGAAGCCTATGCACATTCAGTGCATTGGACGTGTAGTTAAAACAACTTACCTCCCATAGAAATCATTGCAAAAGGTCTTCCTCGGCACTGCTTTGCTTAAATTTGCACAATTTTGTCGAAAATGAAATAAAAAAAGCCTTTTCCTTCTGTTTTTCCAGTAGCACAAACAGTCGTCCTCCACACTTATTTGTTGTCTTTTGCCATGCATTCAAAATGGTAGCCGTGCGCATGACGGCCTCACTCGCGTCAACGGAAACCAATGGGAGTTCGCACTCTAGTGTTTATTTTTACCTCATTGAGTAAGTCTAGCTTTACCTCAGAATGTTGCTTATATTTTGTCGATTGCCAGCATTGACTTTCGAACTTCGTACATTATCGAATCTTTTAGCAAATACGACAGCGTGCTCATTATAGATGATATCATTCCCGAAGGTTTTAAATGGCTTGCCTAGGTCTTAGTAAATGCAACAAACAGTTTCATGTTAATTCTTCACATTTTCTAGGCTAAGTGATGAGAAGAATCAAACTAGGGCTAAAGAGATTGAGGACAATGGCTTGGACAGGAAGACGGAGATACCAAAAAGCGTTTATCATCCTCATTCTGGCTCCACTGTGCCTGCGATTAGCTCCTTTTTCTTTCTATGACCATAAGCATCTTAAAAATGGCAAAGTATTTCACCTCAGCTTTGATGGAGAAAATCCTTTTCTAGCAAATTTGATGGATTCTAGCGATGGAAGAAATCACGAGGGTTTCCCGTCTGTAGATCAGCCAAAGCCTTTGCATGACAAAGAAGACAACAGTGGAGGCATTGCTACCGGGATAGTGTCTGTTAATACCAAAGAAACATTTCACACAAACTCCGATAAGCGACTCTCATATGGAAGGGAAATGAAACACTCTAGCATTGAAACAATCATACAAGATGCACTGCATTCAACTAAACAAAATTTACAACAAAAATATACTTCTGATCGTCTTAGATATAGCGAGAATTTGAAAAGCCTCAATGATATAGCAAAGACAATTAGCACGTTAGGCATCTCAAATGGAAAAGTTAATGTGTATACATATCATGACGTATTTACAGATTTCGACAACCTTAACTTGCATTGGAATCCATTGTTTCCCCATATTCCACGACGAGGCTTTTTTGCCACAAAGCTGGAGGACGATGACTGGGTACATGAAACTATTTCACGGAGATTTCTTGGCTACCTTCACGCTAATAAAACTGGATATTACACTTTCAAATTTTATTCTACATCTCCTTTGGATTTTCTTTTGTTCGATGAAAGTTTTAGCAAGGATAAGATTTTACTTCGACTAGGCCAATTAAGTACAGGTATCCGAAAATCGAATGTTTTTCGAGGAGTTTCAAAAGAGATTTGGTTGGAACAGGGCAAAGCGTACCCTATAGATTTAATTCATTCTTGCATTGGAAGGGGACGTTTCTTACTACGATGGAAGGAAAGAAACTGGCCAATATTTGCTGCTATAGGTTTCCGCCATCTTTCTTCTCTACATAGCAACACTTCCGTGTTTAGCTCGCAACCAGATAGTTACGTTTACACTGGTGGTGTTCCAGAGCTTCGTAGAAAATTCCAGAACGACAGTAGAATTCATTTTGGTAGCAAAATTCAGTTAACTAGCAAATCAAGCAAAACAGGGCTTGAAGCATGTGCTTACAAGCCGAGTTATCTGTTTCTTGGAAATAAATTGATTTTGTACTATGGCCAGCTGCAGTTAAGAAAGGAAAAGATTTACCCAAACGATAATGCTAATTACAAGGCTAATGATGTTAAAATGGATCGATTTCTCGGCGAGGATACAGCAAAGGCAGTTGCAAACGATGTTTTTGCTGCTGTCAACAAAGCAAATAATGGGTGAGCTTGATATGCTTCATGTTAAGCAATGGAAAGTGAATTTTAAAAATGTATTACTTGACGTGTCAGCCATAAAGTTTGCACCAATTTATCATCATGTTTCTTGGAAAAAAAGAGTAATTATGATTATGAGGGCAGATTTTAACTAGTTTTGCAAACATATGATATTAAAACGTTATAATAGTTCCAGGTAGATTTGTGAGCAAATCCCTAGTATGCTTTATCGCCATTTCTTTTCGTTGGGCATACAGTTTATGGCAACGTATGCAAGGCCGCGTTCTCAAAATGTTGTGTTTTCTTGGAAAAAATCAATGCGTTATCAATTTATTGCGATGTAAGAAAGTGCCTCTCTCAACGAAATTTCAAGTGTTTGCACCTTCAGTCACAAAAGCGAGCGGACATAAAATGATGATTACGTTTTCTTTGAAGCGCATTCGTGACTGATTTGTGCAATTAAGAGCTAGGTTATGTCGTACAGTGGTTCAAGGAAAAGATGCCTTAATTGATATGTTTCTTTTAGCAATGTAGGCTATATATTGTCTATTCAACGTTGAATCAAAGCACTGTGGTGAATGGTAAAATCTCTATGGTTGTACGGACAGCATCATCGAGAAAAATTATACAAATCGCGTCAAGGAATAGCAACATAGCACATTAATACCAAGAAAAGAATGATTTGCTTACATTATCTAAGTAGTTGTATGTTAGAGAAATCGATCAATGTCAGCAATAAAACTACAAGAATGCAATTTTAAAGAAAGGAAACATATCACTTAATTACTTCTAATCCAACAGATGCTTAGTAAATATTTTTTATTTCAGAATATTTGAACTTCAGAATATCGTTCATGTAGAAGAGAATCACGACAAGAAACGCTACTTAGTAGAGCTGGATTTGAAAAGCAAAGTCGATGGAAAAATTTATCGTTTCAGTGATTACTTTCTGAGACCAGATAAAAGCAGGAGACTTTGCCTTCCTGAAGGATATTCACAATGGAATCATCAAGCTAAAATCTACTTGATTTGCGTCGTTAAAAATCAGCGACAATGGTTTCAGTATCTCATAAAATCACTTGAAGATTTGATCAAAAGGACAGGAGATAGGAACCTTCATTTGGTGACAGTCGATTTTCATAGCACTGACGGAGACTTACAAAGCCTTTTAAAGAACAGCAAATTGAACTATACTTTTCTGCAGTTGACTGGGAAATTTTCGAAAGTTGTGGGATTGAATGAAGGAGTCAGGCATATTCATCGCAATGACAGTATAGTGTTTATAATGGATTTAAATTTACAGATCCCTGATCATATATTTGATCAAGCTAGAAAGGTAAGCGCATATTTTATGAATCTTATTAATGAGATTTTCCAGCTGCAGTCTTCAATTGACTTTTAGAGATCCATGTGTTGCTTCAGTCTTAAAATGATTCATGGGAATGCAAGGTATAATGAAAAAGTAAGATGTGGTTCGTCGTATCGGGAAGTATCGTCGTATCGGGAAGTGCTGCATGCCGGGTAATGACTATTGAAGTTAGGAAATTTTGATAAAAAGATTGTGTATGTTTTGAAGCACATACATGAAAACACATTTATCAGAAAAACGCATTACTACCTATTCTAAATATATCAGTAAAACTTCTTTTCAGTTAAAAGCAAATTCAAGCAGTTAACACAAACTGATATCCTTTCAGCATACGATAGAAGGACTGATGACCTACTGCCCAGTCTTGTTACGAATGCCAGGGACAGAACATCCCGAATACACTAAGGTGGAAGATTCCGCATGGATGGAGATCGGCTACGGAATGATGTCAATTTACAAAAGTGATTGGCTTAGGGTTGGAGGTAGGCTGCTTTTAGTATAAATTGCAATGACATTAGTACTAGCATGAGTATATTTTGAGCACATCGTATATTACATAAGTAAGTAGCGCAAGCAGATTCAGTCAATGCATTCTATATTCAGATCGAGTAGATATATTCAATTTGCAAGAGAATTCTCTTTTTTCCACCAAATCTGGCTTTCGTAGACTCCATTAGTAACCCTCCAACACCATCGCCGTAATTTTTAAATGTTATTTAATCAAGTCATGGCTAGAAACGCACAGGGCCAACGAAACGGGAGCTTGCTCTTCGTCGGTTTGTGAGGCTTGCTCATCCAAATACGAATTCAAAGAAAATCTGTTTTACAACTTATTTCTTTAATTTCAGGAATGAATGAAACATTTTTCAAATATAAATGGGGAGGAGAAGACTGGGAGTTTGTTGACCGAGTTGTGATGAGCAGACTCGAAATAGTGCACCCAAGACTGCCTGGGTTTTATCACATATATCATTCGACCATTGGCACGTGGGACGGATCGAAGACGTTTTAGTTCCAAGGTTATTACAGAGAACTCAAAGTATGACATCAACAAGCAACACAATATTTCAAAATTGTTTACCTTTGACCTCATGACGTAAAAGAACACCATGAAATACTTCGAATGTGGAAAACGAAAGAACTGCGAGTATGGGACTATGGGACTATTGCACTTTGGCTGTTTTGACCTGTTTCAAAGATTTGAGGACCAAGAGAGAACGACAGTAATTTATGAGGAAGGAGCTCCCTTTTGTAGCTATACATCTCATCCAATTTGTGGCACACTTTTTTATAACGCTTCATGAGGTTATGCTATTTGTTGTATAGAACATGACGGTTCTAAGTTGCTACTCTGAGTTTCAAGCTTAATGTGACCATCAGGCTTTTTGAAGTTATAGTATCAAAAACCCGATGAAGTATAGTATCAAAAAACATGTTTTAGAAGTTACTTCTTTGCAACTCTATCGGAAATAGGGGTAACTTGACATCGTGATTATTCATCCAAGATTATTAGGTCAAAAAGGAGTATATCGCTCCTGTGGCGATTTTTACGAATTCTTTAAAAAGGACTCTATCTATTGCAAAAGGATCCCTGTTTTTTAAACATTTTTGTATGATATTTTTTCAAAGAGACAGTTGAGTCAAGTAAGAATAGATTTTTTGTATGCCAAGGCTTCATGCTGATCTTCAATTCCTGTCAAAAGTCTTTGAACGCTCTGTTGCTGTTTTACTGTTTTAAAAGTTAGTAGTGAGCATAACTGTTCATGGTCCTTCTCCCCCAAATCAACATCTTGTAGTGATAAACTGCACAGTACTTTCAATCTCTCAACATGAAATAAAACAATCTTTTCAGAGAAAAGGATACTATTGAGAATATAAAGTATTGCAAAATTAGTGCAGAAAAAAAAGATTTTTGACATTGAATGAGCATCTTAGCAAAGCGAATGAGCATTGTTTGCATGCAGAAGAAAACTCGAATGACCAGAAAACGTCCTTTCACTTGATTCGAGAAGTTAAGATGTGATGAAGACTTTGGTCTGAAGAATTTTAATGACGAGGAAATGTGAGAAAGACTGGTAGTGCAGTAGTTAATTCCTATGCATTAATTTGTAATGGTCATTCTCATTGAAAGAAATTTGCTGTAAAAAGTCTGCTCTTTTTGCTGCCTTTTGGCTTTGAAAAAGGACTCAGTAACAAGGACGAACCACGCAAACAGCATCGTAGAAGCAAAGGATAATTTTACGATTTGAAAACAGGAAAAAATTAAGCTTTATACCAACTTTGTAAGACAAAATTGAGCATTTTGTATACGTCGAATTGTCATTAATAGCAGGTAATCAGAAGCATAGTTAAAGGTGGGATAAAGCGGCAAATTACAAATCATTACAAAAGATCCTATGATTAAGTTGTTCTGTTGTACATTGAAGTAGGGGAGGGGAGCATTGCTACCATATGGCATTTTTCTGATTAACCATTATGGATACGCAAAAATACGTTTTCTTGCAGCAACCATATCTGAAGGTTCTACTTTTTGAAATGCCTTTTCAGTCCGCAGGAATAGACTTTTAAATATGTGGGAAATGTTTTCGTACTTCTACTTGAATAGGTGTTTTACGATCTTGACATAATCTCCAAAAAAGGATGCAAAACATGTTATTTGTTTATCTTGAATGCATTTTACTGATTCAATTGTCTAATGCAGTTATAGGATGCTTAAAGTGCATTTCACCTAATTTGGGATAGAGATTAAACCAACTGAAACAACTGCGCTGACTTTAAATATCAAATTTAAAAAGCGTTTTGAGCAACGCAAGCCCTCGAAAAAGGCCCCCAAAGTCTCTACATTTTGCCTCCAATCCGCCCATGTTATAGAGGTCTAGACTCCAGTCTTTCATGACGTAGAAACCAGAACGTCTTTCGAAACCTTGCGCAATAAATTATGGCCGACTCTGATTCCGAAGCATCCAACATCTCGTCAAATCCTAGTCCCTTTACGGATCACGAATAAGTGGATGAAAGTTTAGATTATGAGCATGCGGGGACTGAAAACGTCGACGCTAGGTGCTTAGAAGCTTACGCTGATGAACCAATGGCTGATGCGGCGTGGATGCAGAATTAAGAAATATGCTTATTTAGGCCCGTCTAGGACTATGTTATCGACTAAATCCATTTTTAGGGACTAAAGTAAATTCATTCCGGATGATTTCTGGTTGTGAGAGGACAGGTTCGACTTCATATGACTCAGATCAGAGTAGGTCAGGTCTGACTGATTGCAAATAAAAATAAGCTGATAGGAATGCGGAGGGAGGAAAATATTGCAGGCTGATTGCAAAGAAAGCAAATTGATGAATAAATAAATCGCATAAACTTCATTGACGATCCTTGTATGCTTATTATGTCTATCCACATCTCTAAATATACCATTAAATATTCTCAGTTCGTTTTACTTTGGTTCTGGTTTCTACGTCACAAAAAAGACTATGATCCAGTCCCCTTTTTGGTGCGGTTTGTTGCTCGCCAGACAGGGCAAATGCCACTTTTGCGCGCATACAACAGGAAAAGCAAAAAAAATAGCAAATTATCAATTCGATTTTCGTAAACAGCGCATCAAGTATATATGTATGTTTATATCAAATTCTAAAATTTTTCTTCACCAATTCCTTAGCACGGCAGGTTTAAGTGGTTTACAACTAAAGTATATATCTTAGAGATATTAATTAATAAGCAAACTAAATTTCAAATGTTCATTACCCCGACCATCTCTTGTCATCGTAGATTCACATACCAAAATTGAGAATTCTATTTAAAAAACTAGAATTTTACTTTGTTGGAGGAGGGAGTTGGCTGTATTTCCATAAGTGTTTGGCATTTTTAATCTGCTGCTTTGGGCAAGTTTAAGGCTCTCGTGTAGATGGGCTCAAAAAGCACATTTGACTGATGCCCAGCTTGTTCAAGCGGCGTCTTTCATCCTTGCTCAATTTCTTCTTAAGCAAACAGTTAAAAAGACCCTCTACATGTCAACGAACGGTGAGAATCGGCCTAACTTTCTAAAGAATTTGATAAGACCACTTTTAAACTCTCGTGTAGATGGGCCCTTGATGTTCCAAGATTTTTGGCAGAGTGGTAGGATTCTTGAAGAAATTGCTAGTTTACAACCACCTGCCACGGCTACCTACCTACATTTAAGCATCACTTGATTAATTTCAGATAACTTGATTGACATCTGGAGATTAATAACGAATTTGCAGCAGTGAACAATGAACGCGCTACTTTTGATGCCACGTTTCAAGTATTGTGAAGTGATGCCATAATTATCTGCGCATCGGATATCGTTTAAACCATGATACATGAAAACAAGCGCGCTGTGGATGTTGTTAATGCTACGATCGATGCAGGTAGAAGATCATCTACATAAAACTTAGTCTCTGAATGTATCATTTCGTTCGGCGCTCGGTAAGTATAATACATTGACATTAAACCTCTTAATCTAATCAAATTTCTGTTGTTAATATTAAACTATCAAAAAGGAAATCACGAATGTTTCATACTGCAACCTGCAAAATAGCTTCTGTGACTATGTACACAAATAGTCCATTTGTTTTGGCTTCTCTTGGGTCGAATAGTTTAATTTGTCACTAGGACTGTAGATTCAGGCAATTTTGTTTCAGGCAGGTAGGTAAAAGGAAAGAGAAAGAAGAAAATCAGGCAGCATGGTCAGGTATTATACCTTGGAAAAAAGCTTAAATTCAGATCTTTATAATCAACAAAAAAATAAACTTTGTTTGCATATTTACAAAGGGATACTGAATTACTGTTAAGAATTTCATGGAAATCCAATAGGTTTTCAACTACTGAACATTAATATTACAAATTTTCTTTCCGATCAGCATCACAGACATTTTCATTTGCTCGTTGGTCTAATGAAAAATATGTGATGGTGAATTAACAGGCAATGAAAAGGGATTATGTCTTTCTGCTTCGTGCACTTCAAGCAACTTTTTAGGTCGTTTACACGATCGCATTCTGTGATCACATAAATAATGTGATGGAAATTTTCCCTGAATATGATCGTGTAAACCGGCCTTGAATGAGTCAAGCGACCACAACCGCAAGGCAACGATAATCGGCTTGACAGAACAAGAGATTGTCAGACCTTAACTAGAACATTTGATAAAGAAATTATAATAACCTTCGTTTACATGGGGTTTTCATTTATTTTCAAAATTTCTGTTAGTTTCAAACATGGTATAATTGTGTGCCTTGAAAGTTCGGCTTGTAGAATGTGAAGAAATCGAAAAATGGACGTTCATCAATAAAACTTTAACAGATCTTCAATTTTTTAAAGTCAATTTACAGAAGTCATGGCGAGGCCAATGTCCTTTGAACTCACATTTTGAATAACGGCATTGTAAACATTGTTTGATAACAGACTCTTTCCCGTTGAAAGTTGATTTATCCGCAAAAAATATTCTAAATTTTGCTTCACATCCCCATTCAACCTCTTCCTCGTTGTTTTTCGATTCGATTCTTGTCCCGTATCCCAGGTGCCGAATGCTGTTTCCAAGCAACGCTGAAGCCTCTGATGTCGTGATAGGAATTTCTTAATTTTTGTTAAATTTCAACGCTGAAGCCTTTGATTTCATATTAAAATTATATTAGCAGGTTATCAATCATTATTTACCTTTGAATCAAAAGGAGCATACTTAAGCCGATGTAGATAACTTTATCGTGAGTATATTTACAAACACAACAAAGTTTGGCGCTATTTATCTTACTTGAGTGCATGTCTTTTGTGATATTCTTAACCTCTCAAGTAGAAATAACGATTGTTTTTGTCATTGTAAAGTTAAAAGTTCACTTAAAAGAAAAATTGTAAGAAACTAAAGTAGCTATGCAACAGAAGGCAATCGACTTGTATTGAATTCAAAGTTCCTTGTTATCTTTTCATCAGGGATGCAGGATTATCAAAACAAAACCCTTTGAAAATAAATTGGTGCGGATGCGACACTTCGCAATATCTCTGTGTCTTTCGGTAAGTTTTGCTTTCATTCGGTAAAAACCATTTTTTGGCAATCGATAGTAACAAAATAACTCCAAAATTTTACATAATTTATCTTCTTATTTTCCTTACATTAAACTTAAAAACCAAGTTTTGAAAATGGGCGTTTCCATCAATTTCCAGTGATCTGAAGAGTATGGTTTCTAACCAAAATCTAATTAGTTTCCAACACCAACACAACCCCCCTCCCCCCCCCTCCAATCAATTTGCTTAAATCCGTCCATGTGTGCAAATGATTCATTTTAGAAACAATATCCCAATTTGAAGACTAGAATTACATGGCAAGAGGATTTGAGCTTGATTAGAACCTTGGAAAAAAATAAGTGTATAAAGAAATTCTGTTTTTTGTTGTAAATCACAAATTGTTTTTTTATTAACTGCACATGCCACGACTTTATACAATCTTCAAACGTCAATATCTAGGAAAGATAATGTGACGACAGAGCATTAAAATCTTTTCATCTCTCATTAAAGCAAAAGAGACTAGATAAATTTACATGTTAATCAGACTATATGTATCATTATGTAGATATGCTTTCAAACTATAAAAGAAAAACAAAGGGAAATCTTATTAATCTTTTAGGTTTGATGAAGAAAAACAGTGATGAAAAGACAAACAATTCAAAAACTCATTACCACCTTCATATTGATAACACTATGCATGAGAATTACTATTCTCTGGTTCTCAAATGATGAGCATCGAAAAGAGGCAGAAATAAAAGAGTTCAATTCAGTTCAAATTCACCCGTATCTATCAAATTTAATTGATGCCCAAAGTTCTGATGATCAGATGTCTCTGTTAGATAGAAAAGTTTTAGAATTTGTGGTTCAGAAAAAGACTATTGCGACAAATGAAAGAATTAGAGAAGGCAGAGCTGCTGGGACAGCATCTGTTAATGCTAAAGATAGACTTAGGAACAAAATAACAGAAAAGAAAACTTCCGTTATTACCAAAAGAAAACACACCAGCACCATAACTAATAAAAAAAATTTGCAACACACTACGGAGAATAAATTACAGGAAACAAATATTCACAGCCATCAAAAAGTTAGCTTTCAAATGAAAACCATAGCAAATACAATTAACCCTTCAACCATCATTCCAAATGGAAAGGTTAATGTGTATACATATCATGACGTATTTACGGACCACGATAATCTTAACTTGCATTGGAATCCACTGTTTCCCCATATTCCACGACGAGGCTTTTTTGCCACAAAGCTGGAGGACGATGTCTTGATACAAGAAATTCTTTCAAGGAGATTTCTTGGCTACCTTCACGCTAATAAAACTGGATATTACACTTTCAAATTTGATTCTACATCTCCTTTGGATTTCCTTTTGTTCAATGAAAGTTTTAGCAAGGATAAGATTTTACTTCGACTAGGCCAATTAAGTACAGGTATCCGAAAATCGAATGTTTTTCGAGGAGTTTCAAAAGAGGTTTGGTTGGAGCAGGGCAAAGCGTACCCTATAGATTTAATTCACTCTTGCTTTGGAAATGGACGTTTCTCACTACGATGGAAGAAAAGAAACTGGCCAATATTTGCTGCTATAGGTTTCCGCCATCTTTCTTCTCTACATAGCAACACTTCCGTGTTTAGCTCGCAACCAGATAGTTACGTTTACACTGGTGGTGTTCCAGAGCTTCGTAGAAAATTCCAGAACGACAGTAGAATGCATTTTGGTAGCAAAATTCAGTTAACCAGCAAATCAAGCAAAACAGGGCTTGAAGCATGTGCTTACAAGCCGAGTTATCTGTTTCTTGGAAATAAATTGCTTTTGTACTATGGCCAGATGCAGTTAAGAAAGGAAAAGATTTACCCCAACGATAATGCTAATTACAAGGCTAATGATGTTAAAATGGATCGATTTCTCGGCGAGGATACAGCGAAGGCAGTTGCAAACGATGTTTTTGCTGCTGTCAACAATGCAAATAGTGGGTGAGTGTAAGATATCTGTCTGCAATCATTGCCAAAAGTCTTGGTACACTAACGTCAGTTTCCAATTGCAAATTAAGCCATTCCCCTTCCCTCCTTTGAACAATGTTGGTTTACTACAAAACGAGGTGGGGGATTAGGAAGAACGCTTTTTTCTGCGAATTCCATGATATTTTTCTAAATTATCAACTTTGTTTTGAGGGGAAAGGGGTGCGGAAATAGAAGTATCCGGAAGAAGAATTGTAAAATATAAAAATACAACGCAAATTGCTAGATGTTCCAAGTACTGTTGGCAATGGTCGTACATCTATATAGATACAATTTGTATTGCTGCAAAAGGTCACTGACCACAAAGTAATTGAAAAACTTTTAAATTCGTCTAATTACAACAGTCCATAAAATGCTTGATAAAATTGTTAGTTTTTTAGATCTAGCTTGAAGTAATCTCCTCTGATTGTCGGAATCCTTTTAGATCTAGCTTGAAGGAATCCCTTGAAGGAATCTCCTCTGAATCTCCTCTATATTGGGAAATAATTAATCTAGAACCAAAATATTTATAAGTAATCCATAATGCATTATGCCCCCATACAGATTAACCGAAATACAGGCAGCAAGGGAAATCTAGAAACTTCTTTCGAAATGGTCTAAATGGTAGTTCATGTACACTGCTTTCCGTGCAGCTTGTCATCGCTACATTTGAGCAGGCTGATCGTAGGTATTTCACAACATAAACCCATGGCTCTTTGAAATCCCCAGATACATAGGGAAAAATAACTTTGAGAACATTTTCGTTATTCGCAGGAATCACTAATGTTCTTATAATGAAATTTCATTTCTGTTTCAGAATATTTGAACTTCAGAATATCGTTCATGTAGAAGAAAATCACGACAAGAAACGCTACTTAGTAGAGCTGGATTTGAAAAGCAAAGTCGACGGGAAAATTTATCGTTTCAGTGATTACTTTCTGAGACCAGATAACAGCAGGGGACTTTGCCTTCCTGAAGGATATTCACAATGGAATCATCAAGCTAAAATCTACTTGATTTGCGTCGTGAAAAATCAGCGACAGTGGTTTCAGTATCTCATACAATCACTTGAAGATTTGATCAAAAGGACAGGAGATAGGAACCTTCATTTGGTGACAGTCGATTTTTATAGCACTGACGGAGACTTACAAAGCCTTTTAAAGAACAGCAAACTGAACTATACTTTTCTGCAGTTGACTGGGAAATTTTCGAAAGTTGTGGGATTGAATGAAGGAGTCAGGCATATTCCTCGCAATGACAGCATTGTTTTTGTTATGGATTTACAGTTGCAGATCCCTGATCATATATTTGATCAAGCTAGAAAGGTAAGCGCTAATTTATTTGAATCTGAGTCAGCTATGTTTCAGAAACTACTTAGTGTATTGGTACGTGACTAACACTGGTGATTTCATAAGAAATAACATTAGTTAAAAACACATGAATAAGAAGTTTTGAGGGAGCGACCAATCAGTAATTTTTCCTAAGGATAATCAAATATCTTGTAGAAATACCATCTGGACGATGGAATTATTACGTTAATGCGATGCCCAGTTTAGCTGAAAGTTGTCATTTAAAAGTAATGACACCCGATCCAATGCAGCACGCGCGTATTTTTTAAATGGAGCAAAATATTACACAATTCATTCTGAGAACAAATGTTTAAATAATTTTGCCAAGTAAAGAAATAAAAGAAGGTGTCACTGCTATCAAAGGAGCTCTCTTCAACATAGAGACAGTTAATGTTTCAAAATTAGTTACTGTAATTATTGTGATGGGTTACTCTGCATTATTCTTGGAACACTCCTTCCAACACACAAAAAGAGCGCAAACTAGCCGATATACGTAGTTTGTAGGATGCATTAGTTATGTTTTCTAATATTGCATCTCAATAATTTTAGCAGAATAGGCTAAGATGAAATCGTTTTCCTTCAGCATACGATAGAGGGCAAGATGACCTACTGTCCAGTCTTAATACGCCTATACAGTAACGAGCATCCTGAATATACCGATGTGAAGCAAAATTCTATATGGATGGAGATAGGCTACGGAATGATGTCAATCTATAAAAGTGATTGGCTCAGAGTCGGAGGTAGGTTGATTTTTATTAACTACTTCAGGTCCATCACATTTGTTAAATTTTGGTCTTTACAGAAACATTTGACATACGAAAGACAGACTTGCTCGTAGTTGAGTACCACTCCGTACACGAACTATGACTAAGCAACTAATATTTATTGTCAGCAAAATGGAACTTTTACCCTACTCTCTGGTACCTGTGAAGAGTTGCTATAACAAGGGTATTTGCACAAGGGGGACAAAACTTGTAAGGGTAGTTTAGAGCAAACGCTCGATTGCAGGAACCAAGAGGGCATTAAAGGATCATAAAATAGTGAAATAAGTTGTAGAGATTTCCTTAAAATTGAATTTGATACGCCGAACCCCCCTCCCCCCGCCCCCCCCTACTCATTAGAAACCACAGAATGATATTAAAACTTTATTGTGAAAGATTTTGATCCAAAATGAATTCAAAGAAAATCTGTTTTACAACTTATTTCTTTAATTTCAGGAATGAATGAAACATTTTTCAAATATAAATGGGGAGGAGAAGACTGGGAGTTTGTTGACCGAGTTGTGATGGGCAGACTCGAAATAGTGCACCCAAGACTTCCTGGGTTTTATCACATATATCATTCGACCATTGGCACGTGGGACGGATCGAAAAAATTTTAGCTTCAGATATTATCAAATCGATAGCTCAAGCATTTTATTCGGTTTATAATAACAAAGAGTGAAACTTGATAAAGATATAAAGTAAGTTAAAGAAATAGTTAAACTTTTGAGAAGAATAATTAAAGAATTGTCCAAAACGGGCCTTTTGGCGCAGAAAGTTCTCCAGATCGAGCTGAAGTAATATTCTTCTTGCTTTGATTAAAGTCTTGCTTTTTTAAAGGGCATATGTCGCATTAATAGTTAGCTAATAAAACAAAAGCGTGGAATTCCATTGTTTCGTGACTTTTCATTTTTTCTTCTTGAATTTTTACTGCTGTAAAAATTCACCCTCGATTCCATGCTGTGTACTAAACAAAAAATATAATTGTATTGCATTAGCCAATCATGTTCACGACACATTCTCTTTAAAAAGCCTAATACATACAGTTGGACTCATAAGTTTAATTATTAAATAAAATTATTGAATGTAAAATTTGAACACAAAATTTCAACTAAAAAGAAGAACCTAATATTTTTTGGAGATAATGCGTACATTACTATCAAACATTTTCAACACTTTTCTTATGATAACAATTTCAAGAATACTTTTGGCAACCAAAGTCCTAGGAAGACACTTTAAGGCTATAGGCGTTGAACCCAATCCTCAACCAACCAATTTTCAGAAGCCAACTTTCATTAGAATATCTGCCCGATAGGCCCGTTCAGTAAAACGTTGTGAACTTCTCATTTTTCGAAAATGCTATTTTTATATTTTCATGAATGTTGCCAAACTATATTTGCGCATAAATTATATCTTTTTAAGACTTATACGAGAACTGAGAATGCACCAAATGTTGACAAAATATCAATCCTTACTGCCCTCTGCAACACATATTACATGTATATTAATCAATTTATAATGCAATACACGAGTTATCATTTTTCAATAAAAGGTCTGCGCACTTTCTGTTCTGTGGTAATTTCTACGTACTCGTTTCCAGTTAATGGCCTTTGAAAAGTAACAGCCATGAATGACATCGTTGATCTGACTTGAAGACCAACAACAGCTTAACACTTAAGTCCGGTTCCCATAAAATCGTCAGCAGGTAGGCGACGGTCTGCGACAGTCTGCGTCAGTCACCCGATTTTATGGGAACACTTTCTTCCGATCGTTACGACTGCGCCGACTGTGAATCGTAAAAGTCGGGAGAGTTGATGTGAGTTCTACTTTCCCGACTCTTACGACTCTTACGATCGAAGAAAATTTTAATGGGAACACGGGTCGCCGACGTCGCCGATTCACTTTTGTTGACAAACAATCACATGTATGTAATTAACCAATCAAATGAAAGTGATTTGTCGCATTTTGCTTGCTGTTGTTTTGTTGTCATGGGAACACTTTTTATTTGATCGTTATGGAAGATGGAAGAAGGGATCGGCGATACGTTCCCGACTCTTACGATTTTATGGGAACCAGGCTTTAGTAAAAGTTTTGTTCAAGTGTCACAGTTTGCTCAAACACTGTTCACTCTTTACCCAAAAATAAAAGAATAGTTGGAGAGAAAGGTGATAGAAAATAGAAAAAGAGTTCTATGGCAGCAGGTTTCTCTCGCTAAGTGTAGCAATATAAAACAGTTTTACTTTATCTCAGACTAATAAACGCAGCATTGAGAAAAAAATGCAGATTATGACACAGTTAGCAACAATTCTATATGAAACCATTTTTGCTTAATAAACTGCTACATAGCAACAGCCTTAAAGAGTGCTTCCCATATATTGTTCGTCAGAGTTACTCTCATACAAAGCAAAAATAGGCGGCATGGTAACTTGAGATAATTTCATAAGAAAGTTGCGTGGTAATCGCATTCCTTGCTGCTTTCCATCGTCATAAAACCGATCTCGTTGTAGCTGTCTCTTCCTTTTGTTGGAAAGAGAAACGAGCATTGAAAAGGTTTTGAAATGACACGTTGCATTTCTTCGCGAAAGACAGGAGCAAACGTTTTCTGTAGGCAACGAGGATTTAGGATTATCAGTTTGAATTTCCTTGCGTGATTTTTTTTCTATTCTGCGGTAATATGGTTGTTTATTGTTTTGCAAGGCTTGAGAGAAATTCAATAAATAAATCACAAGACTATTCATCAATAGAAAACATGTTTTTGATGGTATGACTAAATGTCTAGACCGAACATTATGCTGCGTTGTTTCCATTATTTGTAAATTGAAATGCTCTTTTTCTGAATGTTTTTTAAATATTGTCTTGTCTGTCTCAAACTCAAGCAGAATGAGGACGTGGCGACGAAAAGCAATGGCATATGGAATTGAAAGTAGAACTGCTGCCAAAGGAATAAGAATCGGAAAAACAACAACATTCACAGTCTGGCGTTGAAAGACGGTTTAAACAAACCACAATATTGCTCGATACATTAGAAACTTTCTGTCTAATAAGCCAAGGCTTACACGATTCAACTTACACGATACACAGATTAGATAGAAATAGCTCCCCTACGAAGCCCGCTACGCGGGCTTGCCAGTGACCCTACGGTAGAGTACATAGATTAGCCTCAGAAAAGACAAGAATTTTCTTAAAACCCCCTGTGAATGATAGTAAAATTAGCCTCGGTAAAGACAAGAATTCTTTCGAAGCCCCCAATGAGTATGCAGATTAGCCTCGGAAAAGACAAGAGGTGTATCAAACTCGATTTGAAAAAAATTGGCTCCGCACAGGTCACGTGATAAAAAAATTACTCGCACTCCTGTGACTATCGCTAGTCAGGGGGTCGCCTGAAATAGAGAAGGGGTAGAGGCTCCCCCCTTCCTAGCGATAGTCACAGGAGTGCGAGTAATTTTTTTATCACGTGACCTGTGCGGAGCCAATTTTTTTCAAATCGAGTTTGATACACCTCTTGTCTTTTCCGAGGCTAATCTGCATACTCATTGGGGGCTTCGAAAGAATTCTTGTCTTTACCGAGGCTAATTTTACTATCATTCACAGGGGGTTTTAAGAAAATTCTTGTCTTTTCCGAGGCTAATCTATGTACTCTACCGTAGGGTCACTGGCAAGCCCGCGTAGCGGGCTTCGTAGGGGAGCTAGTCTTCCGTTAATTGAAAGTTGCTTCAAAACATTTGCAGCCCAGGTCTATTCGTGTTCCTCGTTTAAATATTTTAATGTGTTACCCCCTAAGTCTCCTGTTTTAATTTTCCATAAAATTTCATGTTAAGACTTCCCAACCTTACTTATCTGTTTACTCCTCTGACAAATCAAATTAAAGTTGAATCTATCTTGAAAATCAGAATAAAAAAACAATGTCCTCCTACATTCTTTCAATTTAATAAGGAATGCAAGCAAAAAGTGTAATATCATACAGCAAGCAGGCAAGGATACTTTAAACGTGACAAAAGGCAAACATAATTAATCTAATCCATAGTCACGCCTACTGTGAGTAGCATATACTATTGGCAAGAGCAGGAAATAATTGCTCGAGGACAAAGTATTATTTACTTGCAGCAACAACCCTATTGAGATAAGAGCTATTTTCGTGTAGGAAGATAATGCTTTATTACCTTGATTGTAATTCAGTAAATCCTTTTAGAAAAGTAAACCCAAACTTAATTACTTGCTGGCTCCAGATACCCATACTTGCGAAATTCCTAATAGAATCAATCCAATAAGTAGTTCCCTGATTATTATGATTACCAATTAGCAATATCATAGCTTTCATCACCATCTGAACCCCTTTGAAATCGAGGTTAATAGCACTCTTGACTTTCAGAGGCTAATCTTACTATTCCATTCCGGGGTCCATAGGGTGCCCGCAGAGCGGGATTTACTGGGAGCTACTCTTCCGTTTATTAAAATGTACACACCAATTTGATACATAAACGGTTGCAATATCGAGGCAAGGCAGAAAAGTTCTTCAATACATTTTGTAAGCCACGATCTAATTGGGGTCCTCGTTTAAATACTTTCACGGGTTACCCTCTTTAATTCTCCTGCTTATTCTAATTGCAATTTTCAAAGTTTCCATCTTCTTTTATCTCTCGGTGTATCGTGGTGGTCGTTTAAATATCTTGCAGGCTTATCTAAAAGCTTTGTTAATTATTCTGAATTCTACTTTAAACTTGACAGCAACATGCTTCTGCCAGTCCCACCAATTCCTTATGCTCGTTGGCACATTTTCATGGGTTACTCCTAGAGGTTCTCCTATTTAGTCAGAATCAAATTTTTAAGTTTTCTAATCATACACTCTTAGCCCTCGTCGACTTATGGGGCGTTTTTAAATATTTTCTAAAGTCATTCTTAGAGCTGTAATGTTCATTTTAAAGCACTTCGTTCAATCTTTGTTCACTTGTGATGCTGTTTTTAGACATAATTGCGGGCCACCCTCAAAGCTCCCTGTTTATTCTGAATCAAACACCTCTTCTAAACCCCAAAGAGTTATAAAGTTATTACGCAGTTCTATACATTTGAGGTCCACATATCATATCTTCGTCACAATTAGCTTTTGAAACACTGCAGCAACAAAGCACTTAAGAAATGGAAAGATAGAAAACAGCCAAAGTTTCGTGCATCAGAAATGATTCTTACTCCAACAACAAATTAACAAAATACAATTTACGGACAACAGCTAATCTTTATAACTTTAGTCCTTTTCTCCACAGTCAAGAATCACGTCTGGGTCATAATTATTGCTTGAAACGATCTTTGATCTAGATGAAGAACATCACAAATAATTAAGATGTTATTCCATGGTTAATGAAAGCACTTTTTAAGGAAATCCATAGTCATAATGCTTTGTAAAAATTTCAGAAAAAAAGGTTCGCCCCGAGGGTTTAGCCACCCCTTTATGCGACCTGTTTTTAGTGAAATTTCATCAAACTAAGCATAAAATCATTTGAACTTGTTCTTGTGAAGCGAGCAATACAGCAAATCCATCTTCCTTGAAGGACAAAACTACGAAGAGGTAAAACATTAAGAGAAAGGCGTTCGTGGCGGGTCTAGCGACTCCTTTTAGCAACCGGTTTTTAGTGTAATTTCACCCAAATAAGCATAAAGTCATTTGAAATGGTTTCTAGAATAATTGTCACTCAGGAGGCAGGCAAATCCCATCTCATTCTCAGTGGGAAAATCTCACAAAAAGTGAAATTTTAATAGAAAAATACTCACTTGTTGAACCAAAAAGTCAGCGAATCCGATCGTTTATCTAAAAAAAACGAAGGCGGTTAGGAAAAGTTGCTGCAAAGGATTCTCGATAGGCATAAAAAGTTTGGGGCTGGCGGGATTACATAATTCGCATTACAACGGGTTTCCTATGAAAATCAAATTTTCTTGCATCAAGAATAAACAGCAGGAAAAATCTACCACAATTCTTCATACTTTGATTGCAATAAAGCCAATCCAGTTTCCTTTAAGCACAAAACCACGAGAAGAGGTAAAAAGTTTTCGTTCGCAGCGGGGGTCTAGCAGCCGGTTTTTAGTGTAATTTCATCGAAATGAGCACAAAATCATTTGAAAAAAGTAATATCGAAAACACGTAAGAACAACAACGCTTACTTGTATTCGCATGCCATCGATTCTGATGCCAATGAAGAACAGGAACAGCCAGCAGCAATCGCAAAACCAAAAAACGGGCAGCAGCGTGCGTACCGTACGTAGCTACTAAAACGAAGAAAAGGAAGATTGTCAAAAGCACGAATCACATGGCTCTTGCAAACAAAATAAGAAACGGGGTTCAATCGTCGATCGATAAAAAATCAGTTGATAAAAAAAGCTAGCAAGACTCACCTGAGGTCTGTCGAGAGCACCCAGCACGATTGACTACTGGAGCTGTAGCTGTAGCTGTAGCACACGACACCGACCGTCGACGACCGCTTCGAGTTCGAAAAGGAATGCCAACCAGCAGTGCACGTAGATTTATCATCCAATTCCAAATCACCTAAATTATCGGCACACAGTAGATTCTTTGTGGAAAGCGAAACGAATTTGAAAAGCCTCCGTTCAAATTGAAGGGTTGCTGTTGGAAGGAGTTTTGAAACCTTTTGTAGAGAGCAAGAGAAAAGAGAGAGAAAGAACCTTTAGAAAGTCGGGACAAAGACCGCGGAGAGCACTAATCGTGATCGAGAGGATTTCGAACGAACCCGGGAGAAAACCGTAAATATCTCAGGAACGGAAGCGAAAAGGAGAAAAAGGAGACCGTAGTATGGTGAACCAAAGATCGAGGATGAAGGGGAAAAAGGAATTTTGAAAATCGGCCGAGCGGTTTTGGCTGGAATCCCTCTTAATCGCCGGGCGGTGGGGACCTTTTGTTCGGGGTTAATTTGCATATACGAATTTTAGTTATGGTGAATCCTGTACATCATTGAGTTTTCTATAAATCAAGCATTCTTGCTATATATCTGAATTTATTTAGCTCTTGCTCATCTGATTCTGTTGAAGATTCGGTTTAGAAAAGGAGTAATATTCACAGAGTGGCTGGTTCCATTCCATTCCAGCCACTCTGTGAATATTTGAACAAAAAGCACTCTACAAGTTCAGTTTCATACCTGTTTTCCAGTGATTAGCTTTCGGGATGATTCAAAACAATTGAGATATAGTCTATCACATGCCAGATATCTTCATTGTTTGGCTAATGTTGATGAGAGACAAAAATGCAAACGCTCCCTCGATGAAATTCAAGCTATGAAAAGGAAAAAATGTTATCAGTCATATAACAAAGCAGAAGACTCATTCTGTCCTGCCAATACAGTGTGCCAAAGAGATGACGTCATAAGAATATATTCTCAAATTGTATGTATTTGGACATATTGTCTAAAAGAGCACCATAAAAGAGCTCTTGAATTGCAGAAACAGGCAGATCCGATACAAATTGCTATGGCCACACTAGTATAAGCTTTTTTCTAATTAAAAGACAGTTATTGCGTCTTATGAATCAGACCAACACAATCCGTAAGCAAATTTCATATATCAAATATCATAGCTATATCTCAAGAAATCTTATTTTAATTAACTGATTTTGTATATTAAGTCGTATTTCAATATATCCTTTGTGCTTTTGTTATCAAAATTTATAAATTTAAAAAAAAGATTTTTGCCATGCCATCAATGCCACTGACGGCCTGTTACGGCTTGCTAAATCAATATTTTAGTACTTTAAAGTCAAGTTCCCATAAAATCGTAAGAGTCGGGAACGTGTCACCGATCTCTTCTTCCATCGTCCATAACGATCAAAGATAAAATTTTCCCATGACAACAAAACAACAGCAAGCAATAAGGTATAGTAAATTCTCTCCTGGCCGTGTGAAGAATCTACCATCAATCAAACTCTTCGTCTGATGTTTTTCGAATTTTCGTTGAACAAAACAAAACATATCATTTTAATTTACAAAGTACCAAAAGTTCGTCCGTTGTTCAGTTTTCCTCTTCCATTACCTCCTCGTGTCTCTAAAAGTCCCGGATGCACCCCCGTAGCGTCCAATATTTCCTATAAAGGCGCCAAATCATTTTCCTTTGATTGGTTAATTACATCAGGTGATCGTTTCTTAACAATAGTTGATCGACGACGTCGGTGACCCGTGCTCCCTTTTAAATTTTTCTCCCGACCTTTACGATTCACAGTCAGCGCAGTCGTAATGATCGGAAGAAAGTGTTCCCATAAAATCGAGAGACCAACGCAGACTGTCGCCGACCAGCTCACGATTTTATGGGAACCAGGCTTGAAACTTCAGTTGTGAACACAACCTTTCATTGAGGTTCTTTAATATTGAACCAAGAATACTACTTGAACCGAGAACAATCCGGTCTAGATACTTCTTGGTGGTAATCGATAGCTTCATTGCAAGTGGTATAAAAAAGGTTTTTATTAAATGTCTACTGCTGATAAAACGGACCAGGGTTATTCAATGTCCCTTAAACATTGGTGACCAGCGTGATTCTATGGGGAGAGGTGCTTTCGTGACCTGTATCGTGTGACATATGCCAATTCGAGAATTTACGGTAGCAGCGGGGATTTATTCAAGGATTTACGGTATTCCTCCATCAATTGATTTTTAAATCTTATACTCTATAACTTCAACAATTTTCACAAATCTGTTTCTTTCAATTGCAATGATAGAACTATCATTACATTGCGTCTGGGTCTTCTTTTGGGATACTGTCAAATAATCCTGAAAGTCTTAACACTAACACACAAATTTTTGGGGGCTTGACTGATATACTACAGAAAGATAAACCATTATAA